CGTTGATCAGTCCCGCGATAACCCCATAGGCCGAGTCGAGTTTTCTTCCAAAAATTCCGGAAGATACGCTGCAACCAATCTCTTTTTTTTTTTTTTTTTTTTTTTTTTTTTTTTTTTTAGAAGTTCGGATTTCCAGCTCTCGTTTTTACATTCCACGAGGGACACACGTTCGAGCAGGACTAACGAACAAGTTTTCACTCTTCTGCCCATAAAATCCGAGTAATTTTGATGGACTCTGATTTATAAGGAGCAAAAATGGCAGGAATTGAAAATGAAGTTACATTCGCATTATATATTTCTTAACTTTTCTTAAACGGGATTTCGTGCCTTTTACGAGCATCAAATGTTCAGCCACCCATTACTGTACAATAGTTACGTTTTTGAACCTCGTACATGTTTTATTATTTTCCTTTTGCAATTAATTAATTTTATTTAATATTTTAAAGCCCCTTAATGCAACTTTTTCTAGATTTACGCTTCAGGGAAGCTTAGATGCTAGTCTAAAGTTTGAAAAATTTTGTTATAACAATTTTAGTGTTGTCATGGCATGAGCATTTGAACTGACGTAAGTTTCAGCGTAGTAATGAAATCTCATCCTTCCATGTTTCATCAGTAAATGAGTACTCTTCTTGTTTTGTCTGAATGATAACCAAAATACGAGTATGCCCTTGGTCATTTTGAAGCCATTTAATATTTATTGATAAGTATAAATTTCTAGAGATTTGTCGTGACTCGTTCTGAGAGCTTTTATAAGTGTTGCATGCGTGTGCTGATGAAGAAGTATGAGCTCTCAAGTGTATGTACACTGTATTGATTTTTTTATTCGTTCAAATCGGAACTACGGTGGATCCTAGAATTAGTTTTTTTTTGTTGGTGGAGAGATTGTGGAACAATTTTGCGAGGGATTGCAGATTTGACATGCATCGAATTCTGGAAAATACGTGATTTCCATCATAATCGATAAAATTTGCTTCTTTTTAATATAAAGCGTCGAACGGTGTAATCATGTGTGCTTATCACTCCTCAGTAGTTTAAATGAGCTAATTGAAGGAAGGCATCTGTTGCCCCCCTCCTTGATGTACCTCGAGGCAAAACAAATCGAATATTTGTTGCTGAGCTAATGTATTTTTGTTATAATGTTAGTTTTTAGCGCACGAATCCAAGCATAAAATCTAATAATTTGATTCGATAAGGATTTTTTCTTTGGACATCAACGCAGGAATCATGGTCCCACTATTTTCATGCATGGAACAAACCCAGTGTCCCCTATTTCAATCCACAGAGCTCCAAACCAAAGGCAATAAAACCGCAGGTGTCCAACTCGTTCACCCCTGCTACGGACACCTGCATTTGGCCTTTTATGTAAATTTTTTCGTTTAGTGCATGTATCTACCGTATATACAGGAACGGTTCATGCATGTGATCGTATTAAATTTTTGAATTATCTTTTTCAAAAATGATCCGTGTGATGTTCGAAGTCTGCATTGGTGACTGCAAATTCTTTTACCAGAACATGATTTAAAAAAAAAAAATCGGGAAAAACACGCGAGCAGTTTTTCCCATTGAGTATGAAATACTGTACCGCAATTTCAATCGGGTCAAATGTATATTGATTTTTCAGCGTTCATATCCAAAATGTTATTTAATATCATTTTATTCAAGATAAAACTAATTCTCAAGTTTTGAAGTGTTTATTAAGAAATAATGAAAAAGCTCTAATTTCAGCGGAGTATTCCGTGCCACTAATTATCACTTTGGGTAGCCGGTGATTCGAAAGCACTCAAGCTTTTTTTTTGTGTGCAGAAATTACGACATGTGTCAATAGCAAGCATCAGAAATGTAGCGCATCTATGGGACAATATCAAAATATTCCGATACAGTCAATAATACCATGTCGCGAAGTCTTATCATGATTTTAGAACTTCAAGAGTTATATTTTAAACCTAAAATTCTGGTTGAACTCGCTCGGGTGGACAACGTGTGTGATTCTCTATACAAGAGTATTATGCAGTGTTTTTATCACATCACATATTCTGTAAATTTGCAAGTACTGTAACTTCTCCATTATGTTTCCCTCCAAGAATCTTTTTTCCTTGGTTTATCGATTACAGGTATTATACGAGTACAGAAAGTCCACCGGTGTAAGTTGAAAAGAATTTTCAGGAGTTAAAATGGCGTAAAGACTTCTCGTGAGTTGAGCATGGGTAAATTTCAACCCAAATCATTTTTTTTAAACCAAATCTGTGTTCGTGTTTTTTTCTTAAAATCTTCTTTGCTTATCGCGACCAATGCTCTCATGGTCGACCTGAAAAATGTGCTGTTATATTGCTTTAAGAGGCTTGGAAATCTTGGAAGAATTCAAGCTTTACTTCCAAAACTGACTGATACCGTGGAAGGGAGGCTCCACGACACATTTAACACATTTTTAACACACATAATATTACCATTCAACAAATTTTTTTCTGGGTTACGTAGGCCTTGATTTTAGCTCCTTACTACAGTATATTCTTGTGTTATGGGGAATACAATTAAGATGCTGCTGTCATGAAGTTTTACAAAATATAATATCCAACAATAGTAGCTCAATTCCTCATGTATTGAGTTCACATGTGCGACGTTCATAGACTAAACGGGGTCGGATTCTTTGATTCGGTAGATTAGGTTGATATTGTTACCGCAGCCCAATAAACTACCGCCTTCCTCGTGCCGATGATGACAATCGTTGGTAATAAGAATGCGCGGGATTCCGAGTCGGTACTTTTAAGTTCAAATTCCGACATGGAAAACCCAAACGGCTGTTCATTCTCGGGGGTCAGGTTCCCCGCGGAATGATCGAGGATAGGGCTGACATTTGATAGCGTGAACTTATGAACTAGCCCTCATAATGCCCGCGGTGTCGCGGCGATCGGCCGGCTTACTGGACCACAAATGCCTTCACAATGCGACGGACGGAGGAATGCCGCAGCTTTTGTCACGCTTACAAGGCTCGGAATCCCAGACGGTAAACGGCAAGTGCTTTGAGAGAAACCGCTTTCGGATCCGATTAAATGGCACGGAAAAGTAGCATTCGCGGCGACCCTGCGAATGAACTTGGTCGGTCGGGTCGGGTTGTGTTCCCAGTAGCCTGTGAAAGTAGCTAAAGAATGTCGGAGTCCGTTTCGAGATTGATATGAACCATCGAATGGTTTGACGTGTCCACCGCTCGACGAGGGCGCGGTGCGAACAGAATTCGCAGAGGCGTTTCGAATCGGTTTCAGAATGATTCGGCTTTTGTTGGTCCTAATCCCGGGGGTGAAAAAGGGCAGGTTGCAACCACGAGGGGGATGAGAGCCAGTTTGCGTTTACAGCTGCGTCGAGGGCTTGTCACAGGACGAGGGACGAGGAGTGCAAAACCCAGGGTGTCAGGAGAAAAATGCCGGGGTGCCGGAATGTCCGGGGATAAAATGCCACGTGGTGAAAGTGTTTCTGAGAAGAGAATTCGAGGGAGGCGTAGTCATAATTTTTTCCCGGTGGTCGCGCTCTAAAATATTGTGCAGTACTTCAATTTCCGTAATTAAGTTTTTAACAGCTTTTCTGCCCTCTAGACTCGGATTTATTTGATTCGACATTTTCTTCATGTGATGCGGTTTTCCAAAATGCATTGCTGTGATACTTTCATGCGCAATAACGCCTCATAGAGGAAAAAAAAATTCGCGGGAGACACGGTTGTATTTTTCTTCGTCCTCAGGGTCTTGATATAGAATATTGTACTGTACTGTATATTCATATGTAGGTAACAAAAAAAAATCTATTGTCATGTTAACCCTTGATTCTTAATTTGATTTAGTTTTCAAGATATCATGCAGAGAGATTGTTCGCGAAAAATACTCCAAAATTAAAATGCGTGAATGACGGTAATTTTCTACTTCGTGAAATGGCTCCGAAGTCTATTCGAGGATTTTTAGCATTACTGTATTTTGTCTTCATGCTTATAATTCTTCGTATGAAATATACTGTACTGTATTTCCTTGCGTGTTAGTCTCTCGTCATCTGAATCTCTCATGAGTGGCATTCCCCAGATCGATATTTTTCGCTCATTTTTTCCGTGCAACATTTTCTTGGGGTAATTTTTCCTGCACTTGTTTATGCGGCTCCATGATAAAATTCCATGGCTCTAAAAAATGGTTGGCCCGAAAATTTCGAAAATTTAAAAGAAAAAAACTCTGTTGGTAACTAGAGTAGGCAGATGGTGTGTAGACAAATTCTGAATTACAGTATTAAACAAGTATAATTGCAGTTTTGAAGTCGAATTTCATTCACTAGGTTTCTGCCTTGGGAACCTCAAAATCATGGTAAGGTGAAATTCGATGACGTTTTTGGCTTCCAAGAATGCTGCAGCCCAGGTGGATTGATTTCTACCGTAATTGTATCAGTGTTACAGCATCATTTGGTAATTACCAAAAATTAATCTCTTGACTCCAGGGGTAGGCCCCGCGAGATTTTCTGGCCTACGGGATTTTCTTTTCGGCGGGATGTACTCCTGTACCCGTTTCTGCTTCGTCGAATTTTATGACACGCGCTGTAAATATGTTTTCTCGGCGGAATTGTCTTCAGCCATTTTTTGTCCACGGTATTTTCTTCCGCGACGTTTCCTTTCCCTGGCGTTTTTTCTTCACCCCGACATTTCCTCGCGGCTCCGGAACCCAGAACCAGGTCGTCAGCACGGAATTCGAGCCATCGCAACAGCTCGCCAACCACGCGCGTGCATCTCATGTTCACCTGGTCCGTTTTGCCAAAACGTCGATAGCCGAAAAGAATTGCCGGCGAGGAATGCGTCTAATCAGATGTTCCGCGGCACAACGCAGCACGGGACCCGCGGCTTCCCGAACCGACGTCTCGCGTCCACATTTTCCGGATGGCTCGTCTGATTGATCGCTCTCTTTACTACCCGCGGGACAAGACAATCGTTTGCCAAACATCTCAATCAACTTACCTAAGCCCCCATATAAGCTCGAAAAGAAATGAAAGAAAAAAGACAATGCGGTGACGAGGCCCGGTTTCGAACCTGTAACGAGATGCACTGTCAACCCGAAGGTACCCTCGGATTTCCAGGAGCGTCTGCAAATTCATTCCTGCGGCGCAGCCAGAGGGAAAACAACAAAACGCATTCATCCTTCCGAGAGGACGTTATCTCTGGTTTCGGCAAGACTCAGACTCGGGCTCTTTTATAATTGACTGACGTCGCTTCACGCATGCCTTTTATTTGACGATTACATTTGATTCCTTGAGCAGCGAGAGAGCAGTTTTCTGCTTGTGTTTTCTTCGTCTTTTACTTACATGTCTCTCTCTCATCTTCTTTTTGCAGCAAGGAAACCTTTGGTGCGAGGACTGAAAGACGTGGCGCTGGTAGCGAAGGAGAAGCTGAGACTGAGGTGCAAATCGCGAGGAAACCCGCCTCCGCAAATCTCATGGTTTAAAGACGGCAGCCCGATCACCGAACGCAGGGGAATCAGAATACGCGCCAAAAAGTTTGTAACTGATGTCACTTCGGGCTTTTCGTGTCTCATGACAACTTGTCAAATGCTGTAAACCGAAAAGCCACTGCAACTCATTAACTTAAGCAGAGTCCGTGCACTAATCAATCTGCAATGCAGGACTGGAAGTGCACTTTAGACGAGAGCTTCGTCAAATGAGTTTATATGGTTGAGCCCGTTATGATTGAGCTTATTCTTGTAATACAATATTTTGTTGGGCCTTCAAATGGGGAAACTTCTTTCTTAAAAATGTTTACCCTTGAATTGCTCTTGCTGTTGTCTTTCACGATTTGTGGCTGGCGCTTGCATTGGATGCTTTTACTGCAATTTTTCTTCGGATCCACCACAGAACATTTTTGAAGCGTTGAATGCATCTTGGCTATCCGTAATATTTCTTCCTCTTGTTAAAAAAAAACACGCACACCACGAACATTAGAATATACTGTATGTTGTAGGTATAGAGTATGTTCAAGGGATTTTTAATTACTGAAAGGATTGTGGCTGGTTAATTGTTCAAGTCTAAAGCATGTTCGTGTCTGGAAATGAATATAATAACAATTGAATAAAGAACACGTCGATTCTCTCAAAAAATCTTTTTGTGTACTAGGTTTTCTCAATACATGTTTGATTATGCTATTTCTTGGCCAAACTCTCAAGAAACCTTCGGGGTCTAGTCTGGTTCTCTAAGTACATATTCAATGTGAAAGAATTACGTTTGTTTGCCTGAGTATGATTTTACAGAGTGTACCTTTTCGCACACACCTTTGGAAAGCTGGGTGGAAACTGCTAAAATTTTGATAAACACGTTTACTCCTAAGTGTATACATTTTTGAAGAAGAAAATCCTTTATTTGAGGAATTTGTGGCACCAACTACAAAAAAACAGGTTCTCCGATTTGGATGGCATCTATTTTTGAATACTGAATGCTTATGCTTTTGGAAAATCAGTTGAGGACAGGAAGAATGACAGCTTGCGAGAGAACTTTTTTCAAACGTTCAAAATGCGCTTCAGAAGTTGTTTGCTGCAACGGAAAATTTAAACACGATTTGTTGTTGTTGCAGGAAGCGATCGACGTTGACGATCCGTCGAGTGGCTTCAGAGGACGCCGGTCTGTACGAGTGCAGAGCGTCAAACGTGCTTGGAGAAGCGTTCGCAACGGCCCGGGTTCGCGTCCGGCCGAAACCCGGACCCCTAACGTCTCCAAGTGTCACGCCGAAACCCCAGACGTCGACGGCCGTCAAACTCGGTAATTCTGCTTTTTCTCAAATGCTCTTTCTGCCACACCTCGATATTCCATCTAGTGTCTAAGAATTTTCAAATCGGAAAATTTATCGTCCACCAATCGTGCTCCTTTTTTTATCCGTCTGGGCGAATTTTTATGTTCTTAAATGCGATATTTTGAGAGCCTTTTGAAAATGGTTTAAAAAAACGACTTCGAAGCTTGAATGAAAAATGCATGGATCAGTCAATCAAATTCAGTCAATTCGTCAACTTGGGGTGCGAATGCTGAAAATTCAAATGGCTTGGGATAACCAGAAGAAATTATCTCTGCTACATTTAGAGAAACTTGCACACGAACTGTCAAATTTTCCGGTGGGAGAGGGGACCGATGTCCCCGATTAGGAAATGCATGCATGTTTCCCCGTCTCGTGCAAATTTTCTCGATTTTCAAACTTATTCGAAGAGGAGATAAGTTATGCAATTTTGAAACATGTGTGCGACCGTCTAAAGAAACCCGGGGACTAGTTTCGTCGCTATTTTGGTTCGAATTTGAGCTACAAGTTTTTCCCAGCGTGACAAGTAAAATACTTTTTATCGAGAAAATTGTTCGAAGTACTGTGTAAACCACTTTATACGACATGCGAAAAGGTATACTGTATGAGAGTTGTTAATGTCGGTGATTCAAATTGGAAGCAAGATTTCCCGGACCAAAATCGACTGAGGGCTGGAACTTTTTTCGTTGCAGGTTCGACAGCTTTTCCGTGGCCGGAGCAGCCGTGCCCGATTTCGTCATTCTGTCTCAACGGCGGCTCGTGTATTTATTACCAATGGCTCGGAGAGTTTGCTTGCCAGTGAGTACCAAGAATTGATCGGCATGGAATTCTGAAATCGTGACCGCCGGTTTGATAAGGGTCTTTTCCCAAGTTTCCCACTGCCTGGGAATAAAGCAACCTTTCTTTTTTCACTCGACTTGCTTAAAACGCGATTCACCATCATAGATGCCCTTGTTACTATATGCGTACAAGAATCATGTCTCGACCTCCGTGTATATCTTCCTAGATTCCGCATGCAATATTTTTTGCACTATCTTCAAACTTTATTATGCATGGAGTCGGGAGAACTGAAGTTTTCACGGCCGATTTATGAACAGATTTGAGTTTCGGCGAGACTGTGATGAGTTTCTACGTTGATCTCCGTCATAGCAAATGACAGGAGAGCCACGAAAAAATGTAGGATAGTGAAAATTATGTCGAGATGAAAACCCACGAGTCTCCATGAATTCTTATTTTTTTAAATACTGCCCTGGGGGGATTAGCGAATTCAAAGCAAGCCTTTACGTTATTGTTGACGCATCAAAACAACCCTTGCTTCAAAATATGTTCACGAGCATTAGAATCGATTTCCCTATGATTCCCTTTTTCGAATCAGTTTGGCCTTTTTTCATCTTTCCTTCTCAATTCTGCGTTGCATTAATTTTTATTGTAATATTTCCTCCCGAATAATGTAATCATTGGCTTGTCCCCTCTGTAAGAAACTTAATTTTATCGATGCAATTTTTCTCCCACGAGATTTCTACGTGGCGCCGGTGAAAGGTGCTAAACTTGGGGGAAAAGACCGTAATGATACCTCGGAAGGGTTCAAAAACCGAGCACTGAAGGGTGATAATTGAACTAACGAGCATCTGCTGACCTGATGCTGACTGGGAATTAACGAAATGCACCGCCGGGCCCTAGCAACGCGAGTGCATCACGAATCCATCGGACCGCCGTTGACGAGCTCTTCACCGAGGGGGACAAATTCTTGTCGATTCCCCGGAATCGTTAACCCTAAGTTTGTCATTGTCCCAACCAAATCCCGACACCCAAGTTGATCACGAGTTAGACATTCTGTCGACATGATCTGCCGGTCACGACTCGGCCATTAATCGGCCGCAGCTCGTCCCATCCCCAATTAACGCAAACTCTCATTAAGGATACATTTCTGTTCGCGACGTTGGAGAAGGTGTGGGGGATTTTTCATCCACCTGGGGAGCATCGAAAGATTATCATTTGATTATTGCGAATTTGGTTTCCCGTCCAATTTACCATACTGTGCCCTCATTAGATACTTGTTGAGGATGTTGGATAATTAAATTTTTTTCGAATAAAAGTGAGGCTAAATCGGGTTTACCTAAATTCACCATACAGTTAACTAGGCTCACATTGAGTTTCAATGAGAGAATTTCTCCCTGAAATATTTCGATTTCCCGAATCCCACTCGAATTTTCGCGGAGTGTCCAAAAATGTATTGTGGAATTTTAACTTGCAAGTATCGTTAAAGTTAAAGAGGTTCCGCGTAAAATATTGCAGATTTTCCGGTGAACTTGAGCAAATTTACCTTCGAAACTCGAGATCATGCCTGAGTTCATGAGGTTGATCCGTGTTCCTAGGATGATCACATTTTTCGCCGTGCATGAACTTTTGAGATAACCGACGTCCTGCTTTGGCCAAAGTCGATATTTTGTAATTATTTCAGGGTAATTGCTTGACTGATTTACTTGCCTATTTGTGATAGATTTTGTACCAGTGCTTCATTCCTTGAAAGTGTAGGGCTTGAAAAAATTACGAATCGCCTGAGTGGGCTTCAGCTATTGGGCGTTCCCGTTGATTCTTTTGGGATCGAGGTTCCCGAAAATCATTCGTCTCGATGGAATAAACCGCATATATTTGAAGGCTTGTATGTTTGGCTAACTCCACGTTCGATGTGTAAGTGTAGTTGTCGTTATTCGGCCACGAACCATTTTCGGGTGCTGGAGGTTCTAGATCGGAAAAACTGGGGTAAGGGGCACTTCGAAGCTCGAGGTCAGAATTCGGGAGTACGTATTTTCACACGGAAGATGCTGCGGCACTCACCTACTGATATTGTCCAAGGAGGGAAAAAAATCTAAAAAATAAAATAAACAATAAGCGTGCATTTCTCTCCTGCTTGCGCCTTCCAAGGACTCCACGACGCCACTCGGCGGCGCCTCAAAGCTGCTCCTTCCCGGGCATCTCGATCAGCAAGTGTGTCGATGAGATTTACAAAGCCAGGGCGCGTGCTGTTCTCGCATCGGGAAAAGGAAATCGAAAGCTAGAGCCTCCGATGGAGGCGAGATGCAAGAAAGAAATAAATGAAATGTTTGATCATAGCCGACAGGACGGATTATCATGCGCATTTTCATGTTCGTGTCCGCAGGTGCAAAGAGGGCTTTGTCGGCCATCGCTGCGAGAGCAAGGACGTCACGCATCCCGTTAATGTGGAAACTAGAGGTGAGATTTTTCTCTCAATTTCTTTCTTTCCAGAAATTTATTTTGCAGTAATTGAAGCGAGAGAAACATAGAATCAGTTCAGCCCATCTGGAAGATTCCGACTAAAGTTTCTTGGCTTGGCGGTTGCAATCCCTCCCATTTGATAGCGCCATGACACCGCATTTACTGCTCTCTGAACTTGGAACATTCTGCTAATTTCTAAGGCATGATGAATGCATATGGTCACATGCATAATCCACGATAGACACATATTTTTATCACACCAGAAGCAAAACAATCGCGCAAAAATTAAGGAGGAAAAATACCAAGCTCCCATTGCTTCACTGGACCACATTTTCCTTTGTTGTTGGACTTTTTTGCGTCTTCTCGGGCATTGCGTGATTTTGGATTTTTATTACACCAAAATCGTATCGCAGCATGGATTCCATGCATATGTCGACTGCACTTCGGTAATTTTTGAATCGTTGTATATATGCAGAATATTTCTGACGCGAGAAACATTCTGAAACCTACTTCCAAATCCAGACAGTATTTCAGAAAGCAAAACAGAAAAGTTAAAAAGGAGAAAAACGTTATCCAGTGAAAAGATTCGTCATGCTTTACAGTATTTCTTTCGTTTTTGTGTGGATAATTTTCATATGTTTGATTTCCGTCGATACGTTTTTCTCCTTGCATTTCTTCTGGCGGTTTTTCTCTTCTCCCCTCTTGTTTACGCATCGAACTGATGTCATCGAAGTTTTGAAAATATAAAAGCTTATATTATCACGCTGTGAGGAAAGTTGAGTTCGCCTATATAGGAATACTGTATTACATTTTAAAAGCTGGGAGCCACGGTGAGCAGACTTACTTTTTCAACAATCCGTGGAACATGTGAAAAATATAACATCTTCGAGGATCATTTGGCACTCAAAAGCCTACTCGGTTAAATGGGGTTATCTTAGATCACAACAAAGCTCGGAGATTTAGCCGAGATAAATCTGTACTGAGAGAATTCGCATGATTTATATTCCCACTTTCCTGAATAATCCCGCGTTGAAAAGCGTCTGTCAGCTGAAGTGCTTCACTCGGGTCGTCACTTCGCGACGGGGTTCCAGTTTTTCCGACGTTCTGGAAATTTCGCCGTTTGACGTGACAGACTCGTTGACGGCGACAATCTCTCGTGCTGAAAGGCGTGAGCGGTGAAACAACTGGCGAGTGTCGCTTGATGGGAACAATCCGTTACCCACCTTCCTTCGCGATTTTCTGCTCGCTTCGCATCCGATTCAGACATTTCTTAAATGATCCAAGTTCCAGCACTTGTGCGTGAAAATTTAATTCGAGAAGCCTGGGAATGAAATGAAGCCAATTATCTGGGCTAAGAACCAGGTGCAGATGCCGGAATAAATTTATCAAAGATGATCGATTATTGATTCCTTTGGCGTTTGAGAAATTTCAAGAATGACATTATTATTTTTTTTAATCTGCGGGAAGTGAATTATCCCGTATAGTAGATTGTTGCCGTATTACGTGAGGAAATTGAGTAACTCAAGTTGTAATTAACAATAAATATGTGTCATTTTGTGTCCTGGGACTGAATTTCGATCCAAGTAGAATTAATCGGAGCGTTTGATCACCATTCTTACAAGCCAAATTATGGAAGATCCATGATTTTAAATAATTGTGCTAAAAATATTTTCGAAAGTGCGTTGTTCACTCAAATTTCGACATCGCATATCGGGATTGCTTCCTTCATTAAATCGACAACAGAAGAGGAATCTGTCGTGATAACAAGACCGCCGACTTTTACAGTTCGCGATTGTATGAAAATTTTTGAATCGATCCGCAAGAATCGCGAAGCTCCGTCATCTCAGTGAAAACTATAAAATCGTCCGGGTTTTCTTCTTTCCCATGGTAGTTGATGCGAAGAGGCTGGTGAAAGTTCAGAGGAGAAAATCGATTCTATCGTCGACAAATTTTCTCGTTGAGCCGAAAATAATTTCTGAGGGAATATTTTCACGGAAATTACCATCGATTCGGGGCGAAGAGTTAAGGCCACCGGGGCGAACGTGACGCTCGGCGTGTCGCTCGCAGGGAAAATAGACGCAACTGCCTGGGAACTGAAATAGGGTTCGGATATGAAAACGGACGCCGTCTGATTCTCACGCACTTAGCCGTATCTTCTTCCGCGAGGCTTTCTTGGCCTGGGTCCAACCGAAATTCGACTTTTATTCCCCGCTGTCTGGTGGAATCACACTTGGTGCATTCGGAAATTTCATCCCTCCGCACCTTGGCTCCCGGATCCAGCGAGATGTCCTGAATTTCCGATGTAATCTCGTCATGCATTCCATTTAATATTCCTCGATCCAGCTCTGGGTGGATCTATGATGATGTCGCGTGATAAAGTCGTTCGGTCAAGAGAAGAAGGAGGTTTCGGGCGGTTAAATTTGGTGGATGAATAGACATTCTCGGTAAAGTGGTCATCTTCTACAGCTCGTGCATTACATCATTCGACTGACGAAGGAACCAAGAGCAAACTGAAGTTATGCTGAAATGCGTCATAAAGATACAGATTCGGAGATACAGCACTTTCTCCCAATTCCGGGGTTATGTTCGAAGATCTATCGGCGAAAAATTTGATGCATAAATTCCAAAGTTTTCTCACGCTACTCTTGCTCTTTTGAGATTTGTTGCCGCTTCTAAACGCAGAACTACGAAGACCACAAGTCTTGTTTTTGCAGACTCGAAAGTGTAGCTGCCGTTTATTTATTTTTTCTGGAGAAATCATGTAAAACCTCTTTATTTTTTTCATATTCACATTTTCTTTAAGAAAAGAATATCCTCTCTACAGCCAGTGATTGTCTTGAACCTGAAATGGGAATTTCCCATGTTAGATACTTAAAAGGCACACAAGCGTAAAACGGAACAAATCTGTTCCTGTTTTACCGTGTACAAAATATTTTGCACGCGAATGTGGAGAAATAATGTTCTTAGTTCAGTTTCCTGATCGTTTTATTTTTCGTTCATAAATTTAAAAAACCGTTCTATGAGAAATCGCACTATCTTTCTTGAGAATTAGATCACAAAAACTGCTAATTTTGTGGAAGAGGTCGGTTTCATGAATTCGTACATCTTGAAGTGACGAAAAGAATAATCGTCGATTTCATAGAGAGTTGATACTCTAAAATAAAAAAAAATTCGGTAATTTCCGTACAAAACCTCCTCCATGCATGCAAAGAATGGGAGTTCAGACAAGACGTCAAGCTGATTAATCGCAATACGCATTTTGAACATCCGCCAGGAATTTCTTTGCGTGGAGTTTCCTGTGTCGGCACAATTTTAAATCTAAACAAAGATCCTGCACTTTTTAATGCTAGCTTTTATTTGCCTTGGCCGGGGTAAGTACATGTGGCATGTACGATGGTTCAGAGTGGAACGGGACATGTTTGACATTTTCAAAGTACGTAATTCATGCAAGCTGCCCTTCTTAAATATTTCGAAGGCTGCAAAACTCAATTTAGCATCAATGAAGGGCTAAATCCGACTGACTCAAAAATTATTTTATTTTCATTTTACGTATACGGTAATAGGTTTCGGGTTATCTGAAATCCACGGAAAGAGTTCTTGGAAATTAAGGCGGCTTCGTTGAAATTGAATTTTAAACAAGTCAAATTATGGAAAGGAGTCAACTTTTCTTGGATCTGATTCCGATGGCAAAATAATTATATCTCACAGTGTGAGATAGTAAATGCCAAATTACTGTACAGTTTTTTTTTCGGTTATAGCTTGGAATACAGTAATTAGTCGGCCAATCCTCCTTTTTAAACATAAAATATTTTTAAACAGCTATTTATATCCCCAAATAGAATTCATAATATTCTGGATCTTCATATTATTTTCCTAGTACTGTTCTGGGGATAGAGCCAGNATGCGAAGAGGCTGGTGAAAGTTCAGAGGAGAAAATCGATTCTATCGTCGACAAATTTTCTCGTTGAGCCGAAAATAATTTCTGAGGGAATATTTTCACGGAAATTACCATCGATTCGGGGCGAAGAGTTAAGGCCACCGGGGCGAACGTGACGCTCGGCGTGTCGCTCGCAGGGAAAATAGACGCAACTGCCTGGGAACTGAAATAGGGTTCGGATATGAAAACGGACGCCGTCTGATTCTCACGCACTTAGCCGTATCTTCTTCCGCGAGGCTTTCTTGGCCTGGGTCCAACCGAAATTCGACTTTTATTCCCCGCTGTCTGGTGGAATCACACTTGGTGCATTCGGAAATTTCATCCCTCCGCACCTTGGCTCCCGGATCCAGCGAGATGTCCTGAATTTCCGATGTAATCTCGTCATGCATTCCATTTAATATTCCTCGATCCAGCTCTGGGTGGATCTATGATGATGTCGCGTGATAAAGTCGTTCGGTCAAGAGAAGAAGGAGGTTTCGGGCGGTTAAATTTGGTGGATGAATAGACATTCTCGGTAAAGTGGTCATCTTCTACAGCTCGTGCATTACATCATTCGACTGACGAAGGAACCAAGAGCAAACTGAAGTTATGCTGAAATGCGTCATAAAGATACAGATTCGGAGATACAGCACTTTCTCCCAATTCCGGGGTTATGTTCGAAGATCTATCGGCGAAAAATTTGATGCATAAATTCCAAAGTTTTCTCACGCTACTCTTGCTCTTTTGAGATTTGTTGCCGCTTCTAAACGCAGAACTACGAAGACCACAAGTCTTGTTTTTGCAGACTCAAAAGTGTAGCTGCCGTTTATTTATTTTTTCTGGAGAAATCATGTAAAACCTCTTTATTTTTTCATATTCACATTTTCTTTAAGAAAAGAATATCCTCTCTACAGCCAGTGATTGTCTTGAACCTGGAATGGGAATTTGCCATGTTATATACTTGAAAGGTACACATGCGTAAAACGGAACAAATCTGTTCCTGTTTTACCGTGTACAAAATATTTTGCACGCGAATGTGGAGAAATTATGCTCTTAGTTCAGTTTCCTGATCGTTTTATTTTTTGTTTATAAATTTAAAAAACCGTTCTATGAGAAATCCCACTATCTTTCTTGAGAATTAGGACACAAAAACTGCTAATTTTGTGGCAGAGGTCGGTTTCATGAATTCGTACATTTTGAAGTGACGAAAAGAATAATCGTCGATTTCATAGAGAGTTGATACTCTGAAATAAAAAAAATTCGGTAATTTCCGTACAAAACCTCCTCCGTGCATGCAAAGAATGGGAGTTCAGACAAGACGTCAAGCTGATTAATCGCAATACGCATTTTGAACATCCGCCAGGAATTTCTTTGCGTGGAGTTTCCTGTGTCGGCACAATTTTAAATCTAAACAAAGATCCTGCACTTTTTAATGCTAGCTTTTATTTGCCTTGGCCGGGGTAGGTACATGTGGCATGTACAATGGTTCAGAGTGGAACGGGACATGTTTGACATTTTCAAAGTACGTAATTCATGCAAGCTGCCCTTCTTAAATATTTCGAAGGCTGCAAAACTCAATTTAGCATCAATGAAGGGCTAAATCCGAGTGACTCAAAAATTATTTTATTTTCATTTTACGTATACGGTGATAGGTTTCGGGTTATCTGAAATCCACGGAAAGAGTTCTTGGAAATTAAGGCGGCTCCGTTGAAATTGAATTTTAAACGAGTCAAATTATGGAAAGGAGTCAACTTTTCTTGGATCTGATTCCGATTGGAAAATAATTATATCCCACAGTGTGAGATAGTAAATGCCAAATTACTGTACAGTTTTTTTTTTCGGCTATAGCTTGGAATACAGTAGAATCAGCCGGTTAGGAGGAAAAATTTGTATTTTATAAAAATTTGTCGATAAATATAGGGGTTTATCTTAAGTATTATAAGACCTAGAAGTATAATAAAAGGATCATGACAAGACCCCTATCTCGGTCACGTTCAGGTCTAGGTCATTTCATGGGTCATGGATCTTCACTTGTTTTCTGTTCTTTTTGCGAGCACGAAATATCGAAGACAGAGTTTCCCTGTTTGACGATGCTCGTTCGGTAATCGCTGATTGCCAGACCAAAAAATGTAGGATAACTGATGAATTTTTTTATAAAATATAAATATGGAGATTGCGAGAAGTTTCATGATTCACTAAGAAAACTTGTACGTATCCAAGTGAATCCAAATTCACTTATTAAATCAATGTGCCGATAAAAATCTTGGGACTAATTGCTGACGGGCGTATTTGCTTGGATAATCAATCACAATCTCGAATAATTGAATACAGCATTAAAACATGTTATTTACCGAGTGGAAGATAATGACATGGTAATATTGCAGACATCCCTGCAAATCTGGACGTTCATTATCTCTTGAAAGTACTCGATCTGTTTTGTTTCCTTCAAGTATGTTTCAAATCTCAGAATTGGTTAGTAGAAGCCTAGATCATCTGAGTTCTGCTGTATGGAAAAACGGATTACTTTTCTGCAATTCACATTCTGCCCATTAGCTGCTGAAAATCTCCCCCAAAATCACCAAACCCTGAGTGCCTAATTTTTGAATTGGGATTCAACTTTTTTTTCCCGGAAGGTATTCCGCCAAAGTAAATACCCGTAAATACGCCTTAGCCTTCACCAGATTTTCGCTCGCCTGCGGAAAACTGTCGTAACTCAATTGAACTTCTAAAAATGGAAATCCAAATATCTGCCTTCCTTCGATTATAGTCCTCCAAGCCGACCCTCAACCTTGAATTTCGGCTGGCGATCGAATCTTCGCTGAACAGCGTCACTCTTTGAAATAATTTATTTGAGGTTTTCTCCATCCGTCGTTGTCGTGGATTTTGTTGCGCAATTTGAAGTGACGCCATCCAGCGAGTTCGATGCATATATCCTTGTGATGGGTTTGGGACGCGGAATCCCGAATCGTTTCCAGCCAGTCGGTCTCTGCATCGTGTCATAGTTCGCACCGAGCAATGCCAAAATGCATAATTCCGCAGCCCGTCTATTTTAGATTTAATGTTTAAAAAAAGAGAAAAAGAAAAGAAAATGAAAGAGCTAGAAACCCCAGCGTAGCGATTTTCATTTATTTTTTTTGAGATGCGTTGAGTGATTTTCAGCTTTTTTGTTCTGAAGTTCTAAGTTCTTTTCAGTCCTTCTTGTTCGCTTTCCGCTGTCTGAGAATCGTCTCTTGCACCTCGCTTTGCGAAGCATGTAAAAGTAATAGAGTACAGGAGTGAAATTGAAGAAATGACCGTCATATCTTCTTTGGAAGATTTTCAGCTGAATCTTTCGTCTCCCAGGAAGAACCTTGAAATGTCACGGACCGAAACGTCATATTTGAATACGTCTGAGAATGTAAATCGCTTTTAGGAACGAAGTACTGGTTTTGACTTGTACAAACACCGGGATTTTTATGAATTCCTCTCCTGTTGGTGATGGAAATTTATGATTACTGCAGGACACTGAAAATAAATTGATCTCAATTTTTATTGCCTTTTCGAAGTCCCACTGCGCTAACAACTACCTGCGGCATTTCCTCGTTTGAGAAAAATACTCAAACTGTTTCCGCATATCACTGATATTTTGGATCCCTCGATATTTACGGTCTAAATTTTCCTCTCGTTGAAGATATATTGTAAATGTCTTGCTATTACCGTGCATTAGCTAAATGCACGTCTAACTACAATACCGCGGCTCGTTAAGGGTCCGTTGATGACGGTTCAAAGTCTTTTGTGAGATACAGGCAGCAATTGAAAGATTGGATTGTAATCAGAGTCATTTCAATTGAATATTCTGTTCTCCGAGTTCCAGGAGCAACAGACGTCGCGATGCCGCGCTGCTGATTTTATTTCCAGGTGACCTGTCGGCGGTAGTTCGACGCCCAGAAGAGCGACAGTAGGATTTTATCCCACTTTTTTTGTTTTTTTGCAAGCAGAACAGATTACGTCGCAGGCTTGAGTACGTCGTGAGTTCCCCGACGAGGTCCCTGACCTCGCTTGCTCCACCGTTCGCTTGAAACCAGACAGATGTCGGGTTGGACCCAGCCCAAATCTGACATCCCGAGTTAGTGCTGCCGCCAGAGCAGTGGGCTGCCAATCAATTTCCACCCCACCGCTCGCGAAACCATCAATACCATATTTCCTCGGGAACATCCACAGGTTTCCTCATCTCCTCGTAATTTTCTTGTGAATTTTGGCTATCTTCATTACGCGTGTTCTTCTAATCTCTTCCCGAATTTATAGTGATTAGTGTTCCAAGCTGACTGGGGATTTCATCTGCGAGGAATTCGAGATTTCTCGCGGAAATAAAAAATCTTAGTCTTTTTTGCTGAACGTCTTCCTGAATTTTCTCTACTTTTTTAAAGACACCCATGGGCCGCAATGGACTTCGACTTGATTGAATCGAACTCTTGAAGGCGGAGTGTACCCAAAATTATGCCGAATTCTCTCAACTCTTTTGCAACGCAAATGCACCTTTAGAGTTAATTTTTGTGTGGAACGTCTTGTCTTCTCCATATTCCTTGAATTACTGTATTTTTTCCAGTTTGAGTAATACAAACTTCCCATCGTCATTGGCTCTACTGTACTTCGAGTTACACACAGACAAATACTTGCCTGGTTTTTGTTGGCTGCCCTTGGTGATTTCAATTCAAACCAACTTTTATTTTTCATTTCCCTGAAGCACCCGGGCCCAGGTCGAAAACCGATGCATCAAGCTCAACATTTTTCAACCACGAAATCAAGGGCAGAATGCTAATGTCGAGACAGTCGCGGTATTTTTTACTTTGTATTTTTCTGCTGCACAGAACAGATTGGTCTCCGAATTAATCGATGTTACTCATCCGAATGAGCTGATGAGCTCAATTGATCCCTCGGAATAGACGAAAACCGGACTTCCGCGAGGATGAAAACTTGTAAGGCGGAAGCTATCGATATGCGTCCCAAAGGTTACGAGTGTTCCTGTTTGCTTCTACAAAACCTGTACGCGTGAAACTTGATCGAAGTTCGTTTAAATGTCCATATTGATTTTGCTCATTGAATCACTGTGCTTTTTGTCGCACCTCAGAATCTCATTCATGTGGATTTCAGCTACAAGGTTTTCATGGGTGCGATCGCGGTTCCGATGAGGATTAGGCAATTGCAGGTATCTTGCGATTATATAACGACATCCAAGTTTTTGGCGGTGATTTCAAGGTTTGAAAAAATTTTAAAGCTCCGAAAGGAAGTGAAGGGTAGTGGAAAAATGTGCTGAATTCGTTTTATCTTTATGCTCAATGCTATCTTAATTCGAATACAGGCCATATGCATTCGACTGCGGTGTGTCCTATACTGTACTCGAATATTGCAGTCATAAGCCGCACTCATGTTTTTGGGTGCTTTTTTGGAAAAGATCATAATCGCGAAAATACGTTGACGGTGAAAGTGCGTCGATTCTTTTGATGCCCCCGAGAAAGGGGATATGAAGTACAGGCTTCGAGAATTACAATTCCTTCAACTCGTACCAGATGAAGTCATTTGCGAGTGTTCGGATTTCTGGCGCTGCTCGGATAACAATCGTTCACGAGCCGACGCGACAGTACTGATGCGTACTCGCTCCTGCTCGCGACGCTCCGTTAACTCACTCGGAGATCTTCTTTTTTTTCCCGGTTTATCCCGCAGTGAAATATTCTGTGGATGCTCGTCGCAGGGCAATATCTTGTCAACCTGAACGGTCATTCACTTCACTAACGGCGGAGAACTGCAAGGCAGAAAATCTTTCGTGAAGAATAGCTGAGATAGGCGGTGAGATGAGCTGGCTTTTCGACATTCGGAAGAATTCTCGCTGGGCTGTTCTCCAGCAGAAAATACCGTATTAAATCGAATAGTTGACTGTGGGCATGCATTAAATAGGGGATAATTTTAGTGAGCTTATAAGAGAGTCAAAAATACATAAAAATGAACACATGAACTCCTTGAAGGACCGCTAGTTAAAATCATAGCAAAAGTAACCACTTACTTATTTAAAGTTTTATGACGTATAGCCTCCAAGCCGTCGAAACATAAATCAACAGTGCAGGAAAGTGGACGGAAGAGATGGAAGAAAATATTCATATTCAAATCGGAGAAGCCCCGAAGTTGGCTGACTTCAAACTGTTGACAAAAATCACGAACGAACCCTTGCATTGGTATAACAAAAAAGACGACGACGGAAAACTGAACAGCTTAAAGCTAAAAAGATCGCAATGAGTTTCCATGAATATATTTGCGGAGGGGATGCTCGCAGCATTTTAATACAAAGATTTATATGCAATATCAACATTTATCTCGGAAATTTAGCTCATTAATTTCTAAAGCCAAATGTAATCAGCTATCGATTCTCAAGTCTACCGTGGATCCAGATTCTCGCTTGTCGGTTGTATTTAATTATGATCCTCCGAGAATAAAAGTGAACGTGGGCACACACTCGGAAAAAAATCTGCGAAGCACAAAATGGATCGAACCGATTTGAATCAAAACCCTTGTTTGCCTTTTTGGCATGAATTCATTCAAAGCGGAAATCGCTGGACCGTGATCGTCTTTCAATGGGATATTGATCTTCGCTCTCCTAATGAAGGACCTATTAAAGAAGCTACATTTGAAAGTTAGAGCTAGCGAACGCTCACTTAGGAAAAGGGGCGCTTCTAAAAAAAGAGTGTCTTTCTTTGCATGTTAAGTGGTGCTTTTGATTACATTCGACTATTCGGACTACTGATCGTGAGCCTTCTCCCGGATGATCCCATATAATAGCAACCAGCAGGTTGAACAAATTTAAAGGAAGTGAACAGACGAACATTCGCGCGAAGCTAGAAGTGTGCTTTAGCCCAGATAATTAGTTTTTGATAGAGAAATAGAGCAGCCCAAATCGACGTTGTTCGCATCAATTTGTTCCCTTTCCTCCGCGATTAAAAATAATTATAATTGAACAATTGTAAATCGTCGCTTGGATGATTGGTGTTCTACTGTAATCGCTTGTTCATCCCCACACTAATCCACTTTGGGCCAAGTTGCGTTGCTTTGACTCTGTATAGGGACTTGGGGGGGGGGGGGGGGAAAATGGGGTTAACGCCGAAGAACCGTCGCTCTCAGAGAAGCAGGTGCTTGTTCATCCCCACACTAATCCACTTTGGGCCAAGTTGCGTTGCTTTGACTCTGTATAGGGACTTGGGGGGGGGGGGGGTAAAATGGGGTTAACGCCGAAGAACCGTCGCTCTCAGAGAAGCAGGAAGTAACGAAGGCGCCCTGGCTGCTACCCCCTCGTATTGCAGCCAGAGCGTGAACCGGAACAATTGATGCCAGGTTTGGGAAATCAGGAACACGGCTAGGGAAGAGAATCTTTTGTCTTCCACGTGTACCTCAACAGGAAACGTGGTTCTCATCACGGCGAGATCTTGCTCAGGGAGACACCTGAACGTGGGCCTGCTTCGCTGTTGGTGACGTGCAGCAGTCAGGGCGCAGCGCAGATCGAGTTTTGCGCATGCTTGAAAGTACTGTGCTAGGATTTTCCATTTGCTTGCTCCGAAGTTGAAGCTTTGCTTTTTGTTCATTGGCCTGATTAGTGAAGACTTTATCCAAATGAAGCTGAGCCCCTTTCACGAAAGCACTGAAACAATTTATTCCTTGAGCTAATACCGCATTTACGCGGCATAACATGCGCACTTTTTCCGGCCCCAGAAATCGCAACCAGAAAATTGGGGTGCATTTAATACCCAGTCATGATTTTTTTTTCGTGACAGTTTCAAAATTTTAGTTTACGTCACAGGCAAATCGCATTATTCGAAGTACCAGAAACTGCAATATGTTGAATCAAAAATGTCGCCTCGAATGAAAGTTGCATTTGATTGGATTAAATATGCAGTAATAGATTTTAAAATGAGTATAACTATTTTAATATTTTATATAAAATATAAAAAAATGAAGTATCTCCATCTTCTTTCAGTATGCTGTGAATTAAAAACTTGAGCTGTCGACGTTGCTGATATTAAAAAATCCCCTAAAAACTCGCCAGCGTTATTCTAAAGTCGACATAGTCCATAAGAAAGCTAATTTCTGTCAGGATTTCCGTCTTCCTTTTTATTTTCTCATAAAAAGAAATGAGTAAACTTCCGATAACAGGACTGATACAGAAGATAGAGGCCATAGTCGATAGAACGCTGCCTGTGTTAACCAACTCAATCGATTCCGATACGGTGTATACTAGCCAAAATTAATTTTACCAAGTAATATGAGGTCAAATGAAATGCCTAATATGTGTTCAATATCAATGAAAATATCTGCTTCGAATGGTAGATACCAGCAAGCCTTTTCGATTCGCTTGATCGTTTTGAATTTTTTCTTGTTTCTTAATGCTTCTGTTGCTTTTAAAATTTTAGGAATCGAAGCCTCGTGAACTATTCACGTGGAATATTTTCTTTCATGTTTCCAAATAAATCAAACTCACGCCATAATGCGAAAATCCAATCTTTTCCAAATCTTCTGCATTATTTCAAACCATTTTCAGGCCCGCCAATCGGAAATCGAGTCTGCTTTGTAACATAAGTCTTTAGACTAGCATAGCACATAAAAGGACAAAACACTCATGCAAGAATTAAAAAATGTGCAATCGCATAAAAAAGATTTCTGGACTTGAAAAATTGTGGTGGGAGCCGCATTTGTCCAACAGTCCATAAACCGACGCGAAAAGTGGTGTCAGTGTGCGAAGTCTGAATCCGCTATATTGGAAGCACCTGTTCATTGTTTTCTGGTTCACCTGCGCAAGGGTACACTAACACAGGTTCTTGCATTTTGTGACAGGCTACGAGCGTTGCTGGAGAGCCGGATCCAGTTTCCAGTGCCCCGAGCTGCAGGGCAAGAAGCGGCGGCGAAAAGGCGTGGAGGCGGCGGCGGCAGCGGCGGTGGCGGTGGCCCCGTCGCGGGCGCCGGCGACGAAGCTGGGACGACACCGGCGCAGACACGGCCAGACTTGGCCGTGACGACGTGGCGTCTCCTTCCCTTCCCCGACAGCCCGACAAGTCTCGTCGCGGATGACGAGCACCCGGAGCAGCGAGCAACACGCGGCCGACTGCAGTCCTCGGCCCGTGTTCGTCGAGTAGCATTTACCGTTGAGGGACCAATCCGGCAACAGGGCCAGATCTCACACTGACCCGAGCCCTCAACAAAGCGTGAACGACGTTCTGTATACCCCCCTTATCTACCGTAACTTGGCCATGTCCTCCCCGGGATAAATCGAAGCCAGCAGGGACCTGCTTTCCGAACGCTGGGGTTTTCCTCCGTCTGCCGAGACCCTTTACTGCTGCATGTCCTCTCCGGTCATCTGCGCAACTGCAGGCAGACACATCCGAAAACTCTCCGAATTCCATCTTCAGCCTAATTACCCTCATCCAAGCCGTCATTAAATTCGACTTTTCGTTCTTGAACGCAGCCAAACGCATTCGTGAGCCTCTTTTTGCGGAGCACTGAATCCTTTTCGCTTGGGAGGGTTTCGCTGGAACTTGATGGGTGATTGGGAAAAAAGAAAAAGTGAAGGAAATGTTGACGGGAATCCGCTGGTTGTGTTAGCGGGGACGCGCTTGACGGAGAGCTTGAATAGATTTTAATTCGGCTCGGATGCACGGATGTCAGAGAGGGTGAACAACGATTGGAACAGGAAGGAAAGCGCGAGGGCACACACTTCCGCGACCGGAAGCAGAGACCCGCCTGCGCGGACTGATCCTTTACACACTCGGCCACGAAGATCGAGACGGTTTCGACAAGCATTCCGTGCTGATGCCTACCCGGATCCAGTCCCTTCTTCACCTCCGAAGCTTTAATTCAACGTCCACCGGCAGTTCGCGATTTGTTGTCAGTGCTATACTAAGACCATTAGGGCCTCATTAACCAACCCTCATCGCTCACTAACCGCCCGAGACGTCGACCGCGCCGCAATGATGTTTTTTTGTTTGATTGTTTTTTTTTTATTACGTCGTGTACAGTTCGGCTGGAAATTCCTACGGCATCGCGAGGTATACGTTTGAGAAATTACAAGGCTTTGCGGGGATGGAGTTCCGGTCGCGATGCTTGCGGACGCACACGGGGGTTTCTCGCGTCCCTGTCGTCGCAACCACACCGAGTGCGTGCTTTTTGTTACGTGAAGGAGTTGTTATACGTTGTTAATAAGTGCAGAGCGCTGGGGCGGGTCGACGCGATCGGCCGTCGACAGCGACGTGGACTTCCGGTCCCGTGGTTCTTTATTTTACCAGCGAGAGAGAGAGAGAGAGCGAGACTATACGCCGTGCCACGTTGTGTCCTGAGTGTGAATGTCGGTGGGCTTCAGGCGGGTGAATGGTTCCGAGTCGTTTGTGCATACTCCCGCGCGCGATTTTAATCATTCAATTCTTTCTTTCTTTGTTTTTTACAAATTACGACCAATTTTCACTTTTATGGGCGGCTACGAGTTTAAATGTTGCGTCATGCAAGTTGGGAAAGAAATTATCTTTGGTGGCCCTTGAATTTTAAGCACCATGCGAAGGTATGTTAAACTCTATTCTACCCCGCCAAACCTGTGTCGATTACAGTACAGAGTAACTCTTCACTCCAGCATTTTTTGAAATTTATTCGAATTTCGGTCGTTCTAATCTTCATGGGAGGCTCAAAGCTAAATTTTACGTCAAGTTTGAAAAAAAGTAATCTCTTATGAGACCGTTGAGTTTTAAAATACGTGCAGGTGACGTCACACGCTGAATAACGTCGGTTCTTTGTTAATTATGCAGAGCAACTATTTCATTTGTTTAAAAATCATATTTTTTGGTACTTAATCCAACTCAGCTCCCCCGCGCCAAGTTACTGTTACATAAAAGCCATAAATCCCCCGGGATCGATACGAACCCTCAGGCTTCACGACGCACTGGTTGAAACCCCTTCTTGGGTCGGTTTTTGGGACACCTGACCAGCGGAATGGAAAAGATTCCTACATTACAGTTAGCTCATGAAAAAAACACGTATGGGAATACAAAAAGGAGAAGTGAGGGCAAAATATACAATTCTAAGAAAGAATGAGATCGGCTTTGTTTGAGCTCACAGATAATTCAGTTTCTGTCGCGGAGAATAAGTGTTTAATATGGCCTTAATTTGACTTGAAGCTGCTGATAGTAATTGGAACCCAGACGATTTTACACGCGAACAACACTTCTACGTGTTATGTTGAACGTGGTACAATTCCAGGAAAAAGTTGCCCCGTCTCAGATGATTTTTGAAAGCCGATCCGTTTAAAACTTCAAATTCATATTATAGCGTCTTCAGAAAGCTAATCTGCCGGAAAATCCTGCTTTAAATCTGCGCCACCCACCTGTGAGCTATAAATAAGTAATTTCCCGGAGATTCAGCTGTTGATAATCCCGGATTCTAATGTCATGGCGGAAAAATGGCACATCTTCACAAACCGTGGAATATTTGGAAGAAAATTTGAGCGTAAGCTTCCATTGGAATTTCTCGAAATGATTCGAATATTGGAGCTTCCTCTCAATTCCGTCTACCGGTTGCGTTGACGAGGTGTGCGCAAATATCTGCTCAAGTTGAATCTCGCATTGCGCAATCGAAGAGGTGCGCAAACTGGCAAGGTGCATAATAAATGATTGCGTAGGTGACTGTGTGTATCAGGGAAAGGATGCTTTTGTTGCTGAAGTCCGGCATGGATCGGATTCTTGATGCGCCTTTATTTTCATTTCGCACGGTGGTTGGGAAGAATGTTTGGTGATTTTCGCGAAGCTCTGAACGACGGGGCTGGATTTCGTCGTAACATATCAAGCCAAAGATTGCGTTTTAGTCATTATGAAAAGTTCTGCGTGGGAAAGTGAGGCGATAAAACTGACGTTGGGGAGAGTAGATCGGTCAGACGACGATTCCGGCGGGAAAGGTTTTGTGGCTATCCACGCTTGCGAGTTTACTTTTTTTCTCTTTTTGTCTTCATTTTTGTTGCTTTTATTCTGGGAGAGGGGGGTTGGTACATTCGTTCGCATGAAGGAGTGGATTAGATTTATGCCGGACATAATTTCGATAATTTTTTTCCTGATTGGGAATGTGCGTGCTGTTTTGGGTGTAACATCCTTAATCATCGTGAGCTGAATGCGAGCAATTATGATTTCCACCGCTTAACCAGAGTTTGTGTACAGCAAATGACTTCTCTCACGCTCATCAAATGACGCTTGAAATTGTTTTCGTATCGGGGAAGAAATTTGTGTATTTATTGCAGGCTGGATTTTCCAGAGGTTGGATTGATTTGTAGTGGTTGCTTACAATTCAACGCTCATTCTGAGGTGAACATAATGGGAAGCTGCAGGAACTTTCGCCACGGCAAGTTCGGGAATGGATTGGGCGTGCTGGCCATGATATAAGTTCGATCCGTTTTTTTTTTTTGGAAAATCGTTCGTCTCATAAAGACAAAACTTTCGATAAGAAAATTCGTGTTTCTTTCATCATCACTCGGCCTTTTTTTATTGTTTTTGCATCTATTTATGGATAGATGTTGCAGGGGCACCTACATGAACACTAAACATAGTTCATTTGTCATCACATTGTGAGATGATCAACTCCTACGACGACAGTCTTCATGTTCTTCCTATTCCCAAGACTTTGTGGAATATTTTTACAGATAAATGTTTCCTCATTTCAAACTTGGCTCATCCAGGTTATTATAAAGTTGCAAAAGTTAAAAGTGCACCCAATCACAGTAAGGATCTGAGTATTTTACGCTTTAACCTGAAGATTTTATGTGTTACCATGTAGAATAACAGCTATCACAAATTTAAAATAGAATCATTTTATTTGGATGTAATTACATGATCCGACAGCACCAAGAATACTTTTTTAATTTTATTTATTTATAGTAAATGTGAAGTAAAATCTTTACATGCCAATTGGGATGCAAGAAGCTGTTGACGTCAGGGAGGCAATTAAAAATGAGTCAGCAAAACCTCTGTTTACAGAATGGACGTAAATTTTTCGACGCATTATTCTTGATAACACAATTGCTTGGCGGAATCTTGACTTAGGAACTTGGGTTACGGAAGAAAGTCATTTCAAGGAAGTACTGTATACCAACAAACCTTCATGAGCCATTCTTGGCGTTTTTAGTGTGGATGTCCAGCGCACACTCGTTCACCAAGAAATAAACACGGCTCCACGAGGAAAATTCTATATTACTGCACGAGTGGAACCCCATAAAACAATCTTCCCTTTCTCGACTGAACACTCATTCAACAGCGCCAGAACAGGGACCGAAATAGAAATAAAAGCTGGATAAAAAGTTCTGAAAAAATTTAGGCGAAAAAATGTTTTCGCCCTCAGGGATTTGAAAAAAGGTTTCCTCATGTCAAGATTAAAAAAAAAATCGCCTGTCGGAAGGATTTGATTCCACCGGGAACATTCGTCAAGTGATTCGGCTGACAAGAGAACTCCTCGAAGTCACTTCTGCACCCCACATGCAACCTCAGTTGATATTCTTGAATCGAACAACGGAAACCCCCACATCACGCACGAAAATTAAACTGGAATGCAATAGATGCTCGTGAGTTAAACAGCTTTCGGAAGAATCCCGACGAGGCTAAAAAAAAAAAATCCATCTCAAACGAATCACTTCATCCGCACACAGCAGACAACAGACGGAAGTACGGGAATGAGGGAGCTCATTTCAATGCAGGAAATCGACAAACGGTTCTTGTATCCCCAGTCCTTAACCTTCACAGACTTTTGTTTCTCCTTGCAATTTCGCGATCGAGAGAGTAAAAAAAAATTACAAACTACTATGGCACTGGTGTTGACTTCAACGCCTTAGCCTAAATCCTCCTGCGGATTGTACCTCGACTCTGCCTCATCCCATGCGACGAAAAACAAAATCTCGTCTGTCACAACCTCAGATCATTGACCTCTTCATATCTCATTTAGACTGCGCCTTAACACTCAAGAAACACTTTTAGAAACACCATTTATACTGTCTAATTCTGCTTTTCAGCAGAACTAACGCAAAATTACCAGTCGGTTTTCAGATGCTGGACAGCGAGCTTTCGAAGGGAACGAAGAAAAGCATGGGAGGTTCGATTCATGAACATGTCCACCCCGAAATCGCGGATATTCAGACTGACAAGCACACGTCAAACCTAACGCTTCATTCCTCAACGCTCCACAAAACCTGATTTTCGAACTTAGCTGCGAAAACAAACAAAAAAGCACACCTTCGAATGCGCAGCGCTTTTTTGCGTTATTCTTCGGTGAACGACGGAGGTCTGATGAGAATCAGCAGAATCGGTCCTCGCATCGTTCTCAGAATACTAATGACTTCGCTCGTCGGCATCTCGCTGACATCCAACGTATTCACCTGCAAAACAATCACAGTGCAATTTACAATAACCGAGATCTGGTGTGCGAAAGACTGAAAAATTTCGCGCGTGAACGAAAGTACTTGAGCGAATAGAAGACCCCATTAATTTTCCTCTTCGATAATTCATGAAAATGGGACTCCGTCTTAGAATCAGAAATGGCTGTCTCGAATTCAAAAGATATATAGGGTTGGACAAAGTGCCCATCCATTCAAACTCAGTACATACATTATTTCCTCAATTCACAGAACATAATTTCGCCGCTCAGGAATTTGAATCTTTCATCTTTTCAGCACAAATCATGTCTGACTGCAAACGCGAGAACGCATCTTCAAATACTCATCTCAACAGTAGTTCTTTTCAAACAGACCCGTATATATATTTTTTTAATATTTATGAAATTTCACGGATAATTGAATTTCAAAAGTTTATAAAATTTCCCTGTATTTGCAGTTGGCAATAGCTTCAACAAAAGACATTGCGGTGAAAATTTCCACAGAAAGATTGGTGCATATTTTGGTCTATACCCTGTACAGGTGAGAGGCATGTACTGTCTTTCGAATCACGTGTACGCGTCTTTAATTCGTCAACAAACTTCTTTTTCACTTTGAGGGGTATAAAATTTGGATGCACCTTACAGAATCAATTCCTTCTCCATTCGCAAATGCAGGTAATGCTTATAAAAAAGTCCACGTTATTCGCTATAATCAGACTTACAGCCAAGAATTGGGGGAGTTATACAATTCTCTTGCTTCACATCTTTAGCTGGGCACACTCGTATACACATGGAAGATGAAAAGCGAGAGGATCTAGAAATACTCTAGAACTCTCGATCAGAGATTACACGCAATAAATCCGAATTTAAAAAGGCATTCAGTAAAAAAGAAAAAAAAATTCAAAATTACCCTCATAAGTCGATCACCAACTCTCAGACGCCCGTCTCGGAAAGCGACGCTATCAGCGTAAATCGCAGAAACGTAGGAACCAGGCTTCCCTGACTGCGTGTACGAACGCAAACTGAACCCCAACCGACTGTTCCATCCCCTCTGCAGTGTCAGCAGAATTTCCCTGTTCTGGAAATTTGTGAAAGAGCCTCGATTAAAACAAAGTCGTGACTTTTTTGCAAATGTCGAAACCGTTTAGCATTGATCAACACTAGGCAATGCCGTTGTGGGGAAACGCGGACTTCTCTTTATTAGCGAGCAGTTCCCTCGCTTTTATTGAACGAACTTTTTTGTTTGTTTGTATTTGAATACGCGTATTCGGTAAATTTTGACGACAAAAATAAGAAAGCAGCGGTAGACGTTCACGGCTAGGGTTCAAATAATGTTCCTTATCTCGGTTCTCGAATGCACATGAAGTTATTTTAACTCACCCGACAGAAGAACTTATAACTATAGACGGATTTCAAAGAGTCCTGGGATTTCAAGGGGAGAAAAGATTCGGAAATTTAATTTTAATTCACTAAATGATGAGTTTCTGATGATTGAAAATGAGTTGAAGCAGCAGCACTTCATGCTACCTAATCATCAAATTTATTTTGAATCATCAAAAATTTTGGGTCTTTATAAATATTCACCTCGTCTCTAGAATGTTCGCGAAAAAAAATTAAAAGAAAAATCTGGACAAAAAATGTGTCCAGCAGAAATACAGCCCAAGCAAAAAAGTAGGGTTATCGTAAAGTCATCAAGTTCATAGTTGAAAAATAACACGTCGAAAAAGTTGTTTCAATATTGGCGTACTTCGTCCACCATTCATATGGGCGTGGCCATTCTGCTTGCACAATAGTTATAGCCAACACTCAGGAAAAAGGAATGAACTAGCTAATTCAGATTCTAGTTATTCGAATCGAGTTGAAAAAGCAGCAATTTTCGGACTCGGAAAATTTCTGTCCACCTCGTCCGTCTAAAACTCCATAACACGAACACATCTCATACCAGAAAAAAACGAAATAAGAGAAAAATAGTTTTTTCAACCGCGTCTAAGTCACCATCAGATTTGTAACAATATTTGGTAAATAAGGCCGCAAAAATATTACAAAGAAAGATGGGACTTATACACAAAGATAATACTGAAAATATTCCCAACGTTAAATTCGAAAAGCGGAAATATGATACAGTTTCGGGCAACAATATTGTAATTTAAAATAACAAATACAAGCGCTGCTGCGTTAAATATTATACGTGGGAAGATGAGATAGAAACAGCGTTATACAATACTCTTATTAGTCATTTTACATACAAAATTTGATATTAGCCACATGCTGCCGTGCGACTGCGGTGCCACCTATACGCGAATACAGGCATCTCTAGAGCTTCCAATCTTTCCAAGGAATTTCCTCGGGAAAAAGTACAGTACAGTACTGTTCACTTTATACGCCCAAAAATAGGCATCTGGAATCTCATCTGCTTTCAGTAGAAAAAAAATAAAAAGGCCAAAAAAATCACCAATCGAATTAATGACCTCGTTTTCTGGGTTAGGCGGCGGCATCGGCGGGGGTGGCCCGAGCGCGAGTTGGTAGTCCAAGCAGCCGTCGTCTTCGCCGTCGCTTCCGTCGGCACTGAACACTTGGCCTCGCCACTTCAGTAAGCCTTGAGTGCCTTCAGTTTTCTCCTCCTGTGCAGACTTCTCCACGTTTGCCTTCGTGAGCGAAGTGAACTGGTGAGGGATGTCCTGTAAAGCGAACCGGAAAACAGTCAAGGGTTGGTCTTATGTTGACGAGGCAGGAAATGGATCCGCACAAAAACACGAGTACAACGAATTTTTGCTCTTTACCCCGGTACGTGAACCGTCTTTCAATGCGTAAGCAGCTCCGTTTCGACTACTGCTGTATACTTCATCAATGAAAAGTATTATTTTATTAATCTCTTCCTTTTGTTCTTTGTTTATCCAAACAAACCGAGTGCCGTTGTGGAGGGGACCCACCTGGACAAGTAGACTATTTTTCTCAGTAACCTAGCAAGAGAAAAAACGTTCAGTCAAAATATGCACACGTGAGGAGAATTTTACAGTCATACATTAAAAATGTAAACAATTGACGATTGAATCTAGATCGAACGAACTAAATAATAACATTAAAATCGCTTAGCTTCGTTTGAGCTCAGCGTGAAACCATTAACCTCAACCATATGACACTTTTCAGGAGAATTCTCGAACAAATATTTACGAATTCCGTTTCATTCTGGCTTTTTTTTATTAAAATCAGGATGCGGTGTAGGTGATCGAGACAAATGAAAAAGAGCCGAAATTTGCATACTTGGTCAGAAAAATGCGTGGACGCCGCGTGACCGGAAGCATTCCCGTTCCCTTTGGCCTCTTTGGGTGTGAGGTTCACCGACTGGTATCCCTGCGTTCGATGGCCGAAAGCTCCGGATTGCGAACCATCGACAGCGTCTGTGGCATCCTCTCCTTTATCCCCCACTTTCGCCAAAAACGAGCCCGATTTATGCGTCTTCTCGCAGGCATCCAAAACTTCATTCAGAAAGGAATCCGCGTCGAGGTCTGGAAAATCTAGCGACGGCGACTGCTCCACGTGGGGGGCGTCCAGCGAAGTGTCGGCTTCAGACTCGGATCCCAGTCCCTTGTCGCGGTACGACGACGGCGGCGTGAACACAAATTTCTGCTTCTTACTCCCAGGACTGTCGAGGTTCAGGTCCAGGTAATTCGGACGCCTCGGTTTGTCCGCTGTATCTGAATGGAAACATTAAGAGATGCGAATGAGTGCGTGACAGTCCTGTGACGAGTCAGGCCTTTTACCAGGCTTTACTCTACTCCTGGTTACAATCAAAACTTCAGTCCCACCAGGCATCATTCCAGAGCTGAAGCTCGTCGCTGAAGACGACGCATTGCTGTTCTGCATCTGCTTCAGCCGACGCTGACGACCCAGAGAGTTGAAGTTGGGTGAGGCATTCGGTGGCGTTTTGCCTCGCTGGATAGCTAGTCCGAGCAACATGTCCTGAGCTTCTTGTCGGAATTTCAGCTTGTTCCTGAATACATATTTTCAAAATCATGATTACATTTTTTGAGGGTAAAACACATACGAGAAAAGTGTACAATGTTTCATGAGGAACTTTAATGCTTCAATTTAAACTAAGGATCGAGGCAATGACAGCGATTTGATTTTATGATTATTAGTTTTCTTTCCACCCTGTTAAAAAAGACCTAGTAAAGCTTTCTCCTTTCTTTTTAAAGAACACTTTACAAGTTACGCCTGTGAAGACCTCGTTACGTCTTGTGTAAACAGATACTACTGCATGAAATTATATTTAAAATCCAGTCAGAAAAAAAGATGAAATATTGTATCTTTGAGACGGCTTTCCAATTCTCATACAAAAAGGAACCCAAGCATTGCTCGAGCCAAAATATCTAAAATTTCAGCATATTCTTAAAATTGTAATTTTCACAAATAAGCTGAATGTAAATGATAATTTTTTTAATAATCAAGATTCAAAAATAAATGTCAACTTATGACCGAAGCTTAGACTTTTAAAAATTAGTTTCTTCCGTCCTTGGCATCATTTGCTTGAAAGTCAAAGTCGAGCGAACAGAAAAGGAGATTCGGATTTTCGTCTTTTGGAGAATGTGCTTTGATAATGGCTAGTAATTAAAGCATTGTAAGATGTTGGTTTTAATTTTGGCAAGATTTTCGTGGAGTTTCTTCAAGCTGACACGGTAGCCACAATAAGAGAGATACAAACATGCATAGTTTCTTGAGTACAATACCAAATATTTACAGCAGCGCATCACACGAACTTTCATTCCTGTGAAGTGCTATGGAAAGGAATTACTGTATTGCACTGCATGATCCTGTTCACAACACGCTGGCGACAGGAGCGACATCTTTTGAAATAATGACATTTTTTTCTTTTAAATGTTCGGGGTGCGGTTGAAGGATAAACTGCTGAACTTCAGCAAGTAGCGTAATCCATACGGGCAATGAAACTAACTTTATAAAAATGCGCATTATTTTTAGACGCTGAACTACAAGGAAAATCATAAATCTGCTTTTCAAGCAATAGAACAGCGATCTGAACAAAGCCAGCGACACAAAGGCAGTCTGTGTCCATCTGCACAGAGTCCAAGCCATGCAGCAATTGGAACGTACGAAACCCGAGTGAAAGGAATACTACGTAAATCACCTTCTGAGAGTTGAAGGACTGCTGCCTATGTTGCGCTTGTTGGTAGAGTCGGTGATATCCTCGACGCTCGTCGCAGTCGGTGAAAGAGGTGACACCGGGGTTTGATCCATGTCACGGTAAAGCCGAAGCGTCACTACCTCAGGACAGCTCCGCAAAAACGCCACTGCTTCCGCGTGAGTCTTTTCGGAAATGTCAACGCCGTTCACCTGGAAAACGTAAATCAAACTGTATTTTTGATACGCAGGTATAATCTCTCCATAATTATTTCCTTTGCTGCGACTTTTTCCGTACAAGGAGAAAATTCTTCTTCCAGGTATGAGACATACGCAACTCCTCCGCATAACCATTTATTTCTGGCCCCCCAAAAATTTCGAAAGCACAGAAAATATTGCAGCGATTTGTTTTCTTTTTCATTCAAGGAACCATCAAATCAGTGTCGTGATTCGCGGTTTTTCTCGGGAGACAATTGACTCTACTTCGATTAATTTTTGGCTAAAGAAACAATTCGAGAACACCGACCGATCAAAGCGATCAATCAGAAGGAAAAACATATGCGTCGAATAGCGAAATTGGTTTCCCGCTATTTCGCCCTTTTATTCCCGCTCAAGCATTTTTGAAAACAGCAATAAAATCGGCCAATCGACGACAGCTTTTCGAACACGACAGCGTTTCGGCCATTCCATGCAAATAAGAGAACTGATCTAAACGTGTTTCTCAGAACTGTACTTCCCTTGTTGGGGAGTCCTGTCATACGGATGGAAAAGAACGTTTTTATTTTTTAAAGAGAGGAATAACAGGCAATTTCTACTGTTTCAACTTTCACTCACGAAGGTTCAAACGATGAATGAATTAATTCAAAACATAGGAAAGCAGATTTACCTACCACACAGAATACAGTATTTCATGTATGTTATCTAGAATTCCAAATATTGTACCTCTGAACGTTTCACATAATCGAACAATCAATCATCCTAATGATCATGTCCCAAATCTGATGGAGTTACCATTGGAAATAAATTCTTATTCGGACATCATTCTGTTGTCTCAAAATTTCACTCTGATCAGCAATACGAAAAATTCATTAGTGCAATCGAAGAAAACGCTCTGCGTGACCATCGAAATGAAGCTGGCTTTTACTAGTGAAGTCGATTCTACAGTGTATGGTTTGTTAAATCCAGACAACGAATCTCGAATTCAAAGAGTATCATGAAAAATATGGGTCACACTGAAAGGGTAAACAAGTGTTTTAAATACTTTTATCGCCTTAAAATATATGCGCACGCAGAACTCGAAAATGTCGTACCTCAGGAACAAGCGTATAATATTCTCCCGAAGACAACCTCATTAGTAAAGCAGTATACAGTATTCCTTTCTTCGAAATAGACGGGGTGAAGTGAATACTGTAGATACTTATTATTTAGCTAACATGAAATTTAAAATGACCACAGGACACAGCTGTTCGAAGCGCGGAAGCCGCGCATGGAATCGCTTTAAATGTCGAATTCATTAATTCAGCACACGTCTTCAGGAGCCGTAAATGCATGTAGCAATTATACACTTTCACCAANATGAGGAACTTTAATGCTTCAATTTAAACTAAGGATCGAGGCAATGACAGGCTAAACTAAAATACTAATAATCAAAAGAAAGGTGGGACAATTTTTTCTGGATCATTTCGAAAGAGGAAAGAAAAATTTCTTGTGAAATGTTCAATGCGGACACTTCTGGAGCAATGCAGAACACATGACAGATACTACTGCATGAAATTATATTTAAAATCCAGTCAGAAAAAAGATGAAATATTGTATCTTTGAGACGGCTTTCCAATTCTCATTCAAAAAAGGAACCCAAGCATTGCTCGAGCCAAAATAACTAAAATTTCAGCATATTCTTAAAATTTTAATGTTCACAAATAAGCTGAATGTAAATCATAATTTTTTTAATAATCAAGATTCAAAAATGAGTGTCAGCTTATGACCTAAGCTTAGACTTTAAAAAATTAGTTTGTTCCGTCCTTGGCATCATTTGCTTGAAAGTCAAAGTCGAGCGAACATAAAAGGATATTCGGATTTTCTTCTTTTGGAGAATGTGCTCTGATAATGGCCAGTAATTAAAGCATTGTAAGATGTTGGTTTTAATTTTGGCAAGATTTTCGTGGAGTTTCTTCAAGCTGACACGGTAGCCACACTAAGAGAGATACAAACATGCATAGTTTCCCAAGTACCAAATATTTACCGCAGCGCATCACACGAACTTTCATTCCTGTGAAGTGTTACGAAATTACAATACTGTACTGCACTGCATGATCCTGTTCACAACACGCTGGCGACAGGAGCGACATCTTTTGAAATAATGATTTTTTTCTTTTAAATGTTCGGGGTGCGGTTGAAGGATAAACTGCTGAACTTCAGCAAGTAGCGTAATCCATACGGGCAATGAAGCTAACTTTATAAAAATGCGCATTATTTTTAGACGCTGAACTACAAGGAAAATCATAAATCTGCTTTTTAAGCAATAGAACAGCGGCCTGAACAAAGCCAGCGACACAAAGTCAGTCTGTGTCCATCTGCACAGAGTCCAAGCCATGCAGCAATTGGAACGTACGAAACCTGAGTGAAATGAATACTACGTAAATCACCTTCTGAGAGTTGAAGGACTGCTGCCTATGTTGCGCTTGTTGGTAGAGTCGGTGATATCCTCGACGCTCGTCGCAGTCGGTGAAAGAGGTGACACCGGGGTTTGATCCATGTCACGGTAAAGCCGAAGCGTCACTACCTCAGGACAGCTCCGCAAAAACGCCACTGCTTCCGCGTGAGTCTTTTCGGAAATGTCAACGCCGTTCACCTGGAAAACGTAAATCAAATCGTATTTTTGATACGCAGGTATAATCTCTCCATAATTATTTCCTTTGCTGCGACTTTTTCCGTACAAGGAGACAATTCTTCTTTCAGGTATGAGACATACGCAGCTCCTCCGCACAACCATTTATTTCTGGCCCCCAAAAATTTCGAAAGCACAGAAAATATTGCAGCGATTTGTTTTCTTTTTTCAAGGAGCCATCAAATCAGTGTCGTGATTCGCGGTTTTTTTTCGGGAGAAAATCGACTCTACGTCGATTAATTTTTGGCTAAAGAAACAAATCGAGAACACCGACCGACCGCTTCAAAGCGATCAATCAGAAGGAAAAACGTATGCGTCGAATAGCGAAATTGGTTTCCCGCTATTTCGCCCTTTTATTCCCGCTCAAGCATTTTTGAAAACGGCAATAAAATCGGCCAATCGACGACAGCTTTTCGAACACGACAGCTTTTCGGCCATTCCATGCAAATAAGAGAACTGATCTAAACGTGTTTCTCAGAGCTGTACTTCCCTTGTCGGGGAGTCCTGTCATATGGATGGAAAAGAACGTTTTTTTTTTTTTTGAAGACAGGAATAACAGGCAATTTTTACTGTTTCAACTTTCACTCACGAAGGTTCAAACGATGAATGAATTAATTCAAAACATAGGAAATCAGGTTTACCTACCACACAGAATACAGTATTTCATGTATGTTATCTAGAATTCCAAACATTGTGCCTCTGAACGTTTCACATAATCGAACAATCGCTAATCCTAATGATCATGTCCCAAATCTGATGAAGTTACCATTGGAAATAAATTCTTATTCGGACATCATTGTGTTGTCTCAAAATTTCACTTGGATCAGCAGTACGAAAAATTCATTAGTGCAATCGAAGAAAACGCTCTGCGTGACCATCAAAATGAAGCTGGCTTTTACTAGTGAAGTCGATTCTACAGTGTATGGTTTATTAAATCCAGACAAAGAATCCGGAATTCAACGAGTATCATGAAAAATATGGGTCACACTGAAAGAGTAAACAAGTGTTTTAAATACTTCCATCGTCTTAAAATATATGCGCACACAGAACTCGAAAATGTCGTACCTCAGGAACAAGCGTATAATATTCTCCCGAAGACAACCTCATTAGCAAAGCAATATACAGTATCCCTTTCTTCGAAATAGACGGGGTGAAGTGAATAGATACTTATTATATAGCCAACATGAAATTTTAAAACCTGGTGTCCTGTGTCGACAAGCTTCGCGCCTTCGGCGCGTACCTTAGCGAAATTTACAGCTTAAGTAATTAAGTCGTGTGCAGAAGTCCTCGGCATTTACGTACATCGTTAATATGTGAAAGTGGTTGAACTCATTAAAATCGAGACCAAGAGGAAACTCCACTTACAGAAACAATTTTGTCTCCAGGTTTGAGACGTCCGTTGGATATTGCTGGTTCCTTGACTAAAGCCCGGATATAATGCCCGAGTATGCTGTCGTCTTCCTTTCGAAGAGTGAATCCCAAGCTGCCGTGTACCTTGGTTAGCGTCACTTCGAATTCCTGTAGATTAAAAAATATATAAGGGCAAAAATATTATTTTCTGCAAAGAACGCCATGAGTGTGTTTTCACAGAGCAGCCAATGCTCAGGGAAAGGAGAAACACTTGGGTTAGGTATTTACCGAGTCACATTCCTTTGCAGTCGAACAAACGCCGTTTCAAGGACTGTTTCACTACTCTACAAACATCGCAGTTGAAAAAAACTGAATCCCTATCTTTAAAATGCAAGTTGCATATTATTATTATTAGATTTCCGAGAAAAAAGCTAGATGAACCTAGTAAATCGAACAAGGTTATCCGAAAACAGCAACCCAAATTAATACAAAAAACAAGCTATAAAAAAATCCAACGATTTAAGATTTATGAAAATAAACTTTTTCGTAGAGGATAAATCACATTTCCAAATACTGAGCTTCACTGCTAATTTCCGAAGAGAAAACAATTCGATAATAAATGCATAAAATATCGCGCCGGCGCTGAATTCACAGTGATGTGATTTCAGAACAATTCAACGAGCAAGTTCTCACTTCGCTGTTTCGAGAGTTATTTCGCCTAAAAAAAAAAAAATAATCCCTGCAAAAGGTGTATTCTGACAACAGTCTATTGTAAATTTAATAATGACAGTGAATCAAGAAAATCCACAGATTTCTCGACTATTTTTTCCGCACTTCGGTGACATCGTGCAGTATACAAAATACAGCACCAAAAATCGGCGACTCAGCTAGTGATAAAATCTTGGCGGATTCCACGGGATCAAGTAGGAAGATACTACTGTATTTGAAATGGATTTCCTTCATTTTCGAAGGAAAAGCTTCGTGAAATTATTTTGTCATCCAATATTTGACGCGCCAGGGCTTCCTGACAACACTTCTGCTGTTCCTATTGTTACCCCCCCCCCTTTTTTCAGATGAATAATTCAAATCATGATTAAAACTCAATTTGTCGGGACAACGACGCGAATCAAGGACATTTCGCGTAACGCTCGAACTCAGGGAATATACTATTCCTCGTGATGCAGGCGTATAAGATTCAGTGCTGGACAGATGCATATACACTGTACAGGTACACCGCGCGAAACTTACACCCGGCGGCAACCGACGGCTAGGCACCACAGTGATGACTAGGATCTCATCCGATGAAGGGCTAGGCGCCTCGTCGCACCACTTGCACCACCGCGAGCAGCAAGAAAACCACCGCGAGCAGCAACACGGCATCTCCTCACACTGCGCCACTGCGCCGACGGATCGAATATGACGCCGCTGGCACCGGTCGTTTCCGCGTGGCTCCGAGTCCCCTCACTCCCACCCAGGCACCACTCCGATTTCGCATGCAGCCGGGCATAATCAAATATCAAATTCAGCGCGAATGTTCTGTCTGGAGAGTAAGCCAGACAAATAGGGGTTCCGCTGCAACCAAGTTTGCACCAAGACAATGGTCGGATGAAAAGGCGCAACTGCTTTTCAAGTACAGTAGTTTTCAGCTCCCTCGACGACGTGAAATCTCACAGTGACCTTGTCTGCGAAACTCCCTGCATCCTACGCCAGGGCTAGTCAAGATGCCCGCGCTCCATCAATTGAAAAGTGTCACGCAATATTTGTAAATCGTAGTGCTCAGCTATTGGAGGAATCGTATTCCAAGCGAAGAAAACCAAAAATTAATGACAAATGTAAGAAACAGTTACTGAGCGAAGTATACAGATGACAATTGATAAACGTTTAAATGAAGGCGTTCTGTTTTCGAAAATAATGAGACACATTAATGAGGAGTAGTACGACCTTCACTGAAGTTAATTCCGCTCGTGTGATCTTGATAACATAGTCTTGTTTTGAAAGTGATACAAGTCAGACAATTTTTTAATTTCCCTCTTCCATCAACGTGTACATATGTCAAGCTGGGAGAGAATTATGCTGAAAATTTCCTGGATTCATTCTCTTTTCAGGTTAAATTGAGAATGAATGTCGACGAAGGACTGTAGGGCACGATTCGTTCTATAAACAGCGCTTCGAACTTCATTTCAACTTAAAAGCACGTTAGCGTTATGCATCAAACCTGTTGGGAGATGAAATGATAATTTCAAATTCAACTCAGATCTTAATGCAGGTTTGCCAGGCACGATCAGCAGTTTACCTGGAATAAAAATCCAGAATATCGAGATAATAAGATACGCTTTATTGCTTTTTTATGATTACTCACGAATTAGTCATGTAATTTTTGTAATCTAGCATGACTTGAATGGGCTGTAGTTTGTTATGAAACGCAGGAGTCATTGAGTAACTTATTAACTATCAAGATACTAAAATTGCTGAAGATATCTGCAGTAAGATATAAGCAATTTTCCGAGTTGGAATTATTTCAATAGAAATCAAAAACGTTTTCTACAATAGTGGTGGAGGAGCAAGTGGGACATATGAGTACAGATTAAATCATCAACGACACAGTTTTTAATTTTAAAAAATATCTTGACAGAATATGATTCAAGAAAGTCGTCCTCCTTGAATGCGGGTGGGATTCACTACGGAAATGAAAAGTGATTCTTTCAACAAAAGAAATCATGGTCGAATAGTTGCTTAAAGTCTGCATGATGGTACCAGAATCAAAATGGCTTTATGGCTGGTATTAATTTAGTTTAGAATGCAAATCTATTGTACAAAACCTTTTCCTTCACGCATATCACAATTACATTGGAATGCGTATTTGTCACACGGCTACTGAAAAATTGGCGGAAATTAATTTTCGAAAGCAAAATTCGCGAGACCTTCAACGAACTGCTGAAGACACGCAGGAAGATTTTCTCGCGAAGCAGATAGTACAAATCCGCAGCGAACAAATTTTTATATTTGTATTTCAAGTCGATTGGGGCAACTCACTTGAGGTTCGACCAAAACGAAACCTCGAATCAATTGTGTTTGCACAATCATTATTTCCATAGCTTTTGATATAAATTAAATTGGTCATAATTGGTCTTGCTTCAGTGCTTCCGTGACTTCGAAATTTATTCGTCTCGAATCGCAGGTGACTGGGCAAAGCTCCAAGGATTGAATTAAAATTTCGAATACTGTAATCACTTGAGTTCCTTGAAGAAAACCAAGTTCAAACGATGGTGGGAATTTTCCAGAATTATATCCCACTCGGCTAAAGTTAAATTCCATTACGACAACTTTAAAATACAATTCCATGAAAATTCGACAACAAATCTCGGAACCACACACCTCCCCCCCCTATAATGGATCTTCAGAACGCATAATAATCACCGAAGACAAGGTTTCTTCATTGGTCAGAAACTATGCAGAATTTACGTTTTACACGCATAAATATATCTCATACACTAATCTACAGCGTGATGTTGAGCTTTTAGTTAGCTTTCTACCGAAGTATTCTAAAACGCTTTACGAAAGTAAAAAGAGCGTCATATTTGAAAGAATTACAGGCCGTCCATTCTGAATCAAGGTAGAGTATCACTGGGACCAGTCCTGCAATGACACAGGGCACTTTCAAATTCAAAGGCTAAGAAATCACTAAATAATATTACTACCCAGGCTATAAGCGCGTATATTCTGGATTCTGCAGAAATATTTTCAATTTTCCACGCGTTTCGGAAAAGTGAAAAAAACATTGACAGCGAGCGACGAGACACGTTTCAGATCATTTTAAAAATGAGAGTCCTCTTAGGGTACCCGGAAGAATATCGCGACTGACGAGAGCGCGCGATTCATGCTCACTTTCCAGAACCGTGCGAAGAGGGAGAACAAAAATATATGACTGGAAAAATGAAACCTCAAGAAAAGCGGGTTAGTGTTCTGTCTCCCAGAAAATTCGTGCCGTTAATGAGCACTCGCCGGCACCGCACCAGCAACTGTCCGCTGCATATCCTCGCCACGCATGCAAAACGGGGCCAGAATGAAATTCAATTTCTTTGCAATAAAAAAATAATAAAACGAGAAGCAAGAGAACACCGGATATCCCCGTGGATATCACACGCCTCTTAAGACCCTGCAAAATATTGTTGCAGAGCTCCCAGAGTTTTCTTTCCGAGTTCACGTCGGCGGAGTGTTTCACAGTTCATCATAACGCGTCAGAAGCAATTACATCCCCACACTTTCCCATCATCCACGAAGAGTCTCCACAGCTCAAATGTGGCATGGAAATAAAAAATAAAAAAGGAGGTGGTTTGAAAAAGAAAGTCTAAAAATAATGCGGTAGAAGTCAATGGCTCCCGTCGTAAATCATATCCCTGTGACGAACTCATCTTCCCAGAAAACGCGGCTTTTATTGACTATCTGATCAAGCCAGCGACGACAGAAAGAATAAATAAATAAATAAATCCTTGCCGAACCCCACATATTCTGGGAGTGATAGCGGAAGATCGATCGACTATTGTTCACTCTTCACGGATAAAAGGAGGAAGAGGAAGCTTTCGCTCGTATCGTTGCGCCATTTTCTTTACTTCGGCCTTTGAATCGAGAAGCTCTCAAGATCAAAATAAATTGGGAAAACATAATTTCAACAAGAAGCTTTGACCTGGCATTCGGAGTTTATAAGGGGACCATTAAATCATAATCATCGTTTAAAATTAGCAAAAGCAAGACGTGGCCGATTGTAACACGGGAAGCATTATACATACAGTATGTTTTATCCGACTGGATTAGACACATTCAATTCGAAGCCGAGATTAGGTTGATCAATCCTACATTGTTAGCAGTCTAGAGCTTGAATTAATAGCTAGACTATTCGATTTCATGCACATACTTTTAAAATTGTAACCAGTTTCAAAATAATCGAAGAGTCCTTGGCTGTCTACAGACACTGTTTCGATCAAGTAAAAACTCCACCACGTGAGGAATAATTACGAAAATAATCTCTGGTTTGACAACCAACTTCGAAAAATCTCAAGTAGTGAAAAAAATAGAGTTTAAAATGGACGAGGAGTGGACAAGATCGCGAACAGACATCATGGAAAAAACGTGGCACGCGACGAAGCTACGCTCTTCGCACCGATGAAATCGGTTTCGCAGCAAGTCGCTGCAAATGAAAGAATATCACCTGTTCTTCATCTCTTCTTTTTTATTCTATAAAACATATCTATAAATATATCCTGTGTATTTCCCACCGACGTGATTTCTCATCTGGCTGCGATGCGTGGGTCGAAAGTCGCGAAATTTACATTCTCTTCTTAGTTTCAGATTAAGTCAATTTTTCTGAGCAAAAAAAAAAAACTCACCGGCACACAGACAACTTTGATTTTACATAAAGATTATTATTTCACTGGTTGCGTACGCGGAATGTGAAAAATATCGAGACTTCTAAAAAGTCGTGACTGACGTAACTTATACCCAAATATATACATCGGAATCAGTCAATCATCACACTAAGAAGTTACAGGTCGTAATTCTATACGAGCTCATCTAACTTTCTTTAAATAAAACAGGATTTCTTGTTGAAGGAATCGGGAATTTCACGCAAACTGAAGCGCAGAAGTATAGATGAAAAGATTATCTGACTTCAGGAATTCAGCTGCTTGGAAGCTGCTTTTTGTTGTTGTTATGGCCTCTCAAAACAAAGCTCATGAGCCATACCATATCGAACACTTGCCAATCTAGTATACAATGATTTTAAAATCCTCATTTCGGTGGAAAGGGCTAAATTCCCAAAAATGAACTCAAAATTCTTTCATACGACAATCCGAGGTTCTGTGTAACCAGCGCGCAAATTCTTTTGATTGTACTCAGGAAAAAATGAGATACTCAAGATGAATGAACCGCCTCATTCTAATATGTGATGCTTTAGCTCATCTCGAATTGAGAAGAGAAATTTTGATTTTCTGACTCATCTGCATAGGCCTCGTAAGTCTGGAAATTGGTTGAACCATGTCCCTCAATTAATGCCCGCCTCTGCTTATCCATCTTCAGTACAGTCACATTTTTTTTTTCCCTTTTGGACCCATATTTCCACGGAAAAAATTTCCGGTTCTGTTCACAGGGATACTTTGAAGACAGGATGATATTCAAAATAAAATTGGGAATTTCTCCTCGGACAGGAGAACATTTTCCGTGCATCACGGGTTGAAAAACTCGGACATGCATGCTGTAACATGCCCATTAGAAGATGTTCGTGTTTGCTCTAAACCAGACCCAAATGTAATGAACTAAGTGGAAAACAGTTTCAGGTGCACTTACCCCACACGGGGACAAGATGGGGCTCAGAAGGTTCTCTCGGCTGGATATTTTCCGTTGTGCAGCGGGTGTCGGGTTCTCTGGCTCCTCGACAGTTTTCGGCAATCGACACACGTCCAACACAGTCACCCTCGGGCTCGTCCGCAGGATCTCCAAGGCTTGCTGGAAAAACAAAAAAAACACGAGGCGGCATTTGACAGTGGTTCATAAATGAAGCTAAGCAGCGACAGGAAATTGAAACCAGAAAAACTGGCAGAAAAGAATGAATACCAGCCAGTCGAACTTGAAAATGAATTAAAAAGGGCTTGGCAATCCCATTCATCAATTATTTATGAAATAAATTGTTTCCTGCTTTATTCTACTTCGGTGTGCAAAAACAGAAATCTACAGGTTCATCTCGGCAGAGAAATTTTGAGGAATGACGGGTGGCCCTTATTTTACAAAAATTGGCACATCTCTAGATGAACTATTCTTGTTCATTACTAAATACCTCTGTCGCGTAAAATTTCGAAATTCTTTGCTTAACGAAATCATAGACAAGGAGTTCCATCAAGAATTCTGGATTACAGTAATCTTGCAGGATGCCAGTCAATGAAGAGTGTATGGTAGGAAATATGCGACGAAACATTTCTTCAATGTGCTTCGAAACATCACGCAGCCATTTTTCCGTAAAAATCTCGATACCTATTTACACGGGAAAAAATGGCATGTGAACAATATGAAGATTCATCTGGAAAGTTTTTCTCGGTGAATTGCCTGCCGATGAAAAAAATAAAATTCGGATTTAGGAATCGTAGAGAAAGACTGCAGGCAAGGAAGATCCAATATATGCTGTGGACTCTTGATCAACCAAGAAAAAAGTTAACAAGCTAATAGATGAGAAAATCGAGAGTATAGGAAAGAGAACACTATAGGGACCTTCTGGAGAAGAAACAGTCTTTTTTTTTCTCAGTCTACTTGGCCGACATGCGGTTCACAGAAAAAGAGTATCCTTTCGCACGGAGAAGTTCGCATCTGCACACATCTCTCTGGGATATAAATATCCCTAAAAATGAAGGCCCATTTTGCCTCATCTCTACGAAGGGCAACTACAGTTTTAGAAAAGTAGAACTTCGACGAGGGTTATATGAACTTACACTGCATGTCAGTCCAGTCAATTCAACCCCGTTTGCGGACAAAACAATGTCGCCAGGAAGCAAATTTCCGCACTCCGACGCCGGCGTCATGGGATAAACCTTCTTAATTCGTATAAATCCTTTTCGCCGACTGGGACCTTTGTCGGCAGTTTTGCTTGCTTTGGCTTCCGCTTCCGTCTCGCTCACACCGCCCATCACGCTCAATCCCAGCCCTTGCGATGTTTTGTTCAGCATCACTTTGAAAATTGTCGCTGTGGACGTAAACAGAGTCTGAGAAATTCCCTTCAAGTCATTTCTGCTTCTCCGATCGACGAGATCAAGAGGTTTCACGACGGAGATTTGGTTTCTGAGTTGTTTTCTCGATAGGAAAGAGTTTATGTTTGAAAACTGACCATTCGAAACTTTCAAAAATACGGAAGCTTTGCCGCCCAAAAATATTCTCGACGTTTCGTTTCAAGAGAAAACAAAGACCCTGGCAAAACTTTTCAGCAGACGTGGTGGAGCGGAACGGCGGAATAAACCGTTCCGCTCAGCCGAGTCCCGGTAGTTCAGCCTTTTTCGTTCGTCGAGCTCCTTTCAAAATCAATGTTCGAAAACTTAGCTCTATTTAGAGTAAATTTTATTTGAAAGAGCTCCTCTGGCCAACCCCTCTATCTTGCAAATTATATTTACGCTACTCAGCTCAAATGCACTAATCTTTGCTTAAATGTACTAATATTATTCCCATCTGCGTGAGATTTACTTGAGTTGCAGACATAACAGCCGCACTCGTACTGTTGAATTATTCAAATTTAATTTTTTTTTTCGCTGGAGCGGATTCGGAACCCTGGGTAAGTGAATTAGGAAGTTCACAGACTGGGAACCACGTATGTCGTCTATAGTGCATTCCTTAGCGTAAATTTACTATTAATTCCACGTCGTTACCAAGATTCTCGGCACTGATCATACTGTCGACAAAGTGACGTAAATCTCGAGCAACCCTGATCACAAAGAAATAAATTTCCATACCACGTGATCCCAAGACTTCTAGAGCATTTCCAGTTCTTTAAACTTAATTTACTGTCATTATGGGGTGACGTTCAGAATCTTGAGGGTGGAAATTATACAAATCGGCTTTAATTTTCCACAATAAGCAAGTGCCATGGGAATGTATTGAAAGGAACGTACCTTGATCCAAATATTTGTAACAATAATCTTGATCATCATCAGGCTCTTCAACCTTGTACTTGTCACTCTTGACCGGCGACGGCAAGTCACCGGCAGATTTGCTGCGATTAAATGCCGGCACGGACACGAGCACCACATCAGGCATGACAGGGCTGAGAACTGTGGCACCCTTCGTCGTCGCCACGCGGCGCCACGACGGGCCCGACGACGTCGTCGACGAAGAGTCTGTTTCGGGCTCCTGGATAACGACAGTGCACGGAGTCACGTCACTGAATTCCTGCGGCGGCGACAGGACCATGTCGGCAAACTGCGGCGGCGGCTCGACGCCGCCCCCGCCGCCCGACAGCGTCTTCTTGACTTCGTTCAGCTTCGCGCCACGAGGTTTGTTGGCTCCACTTGATCGCTCCTCGCTCCGCGAACCGCGCGTCTTTTTACCATCACCTGCAACGAGGAAAAAATGAAAAATAAAAACTAGACTTCAATTTTCTGGCTGAAAAAGACGAACAATTTTTCGCGAAGCCCAGTTCAATGCCCGAAATCCCAAGACGCACCCGACGCACGTTCGGGTTTCCTTCAAAATGCAGCGCTTTCGAAATTCTGAAAAGATTTTCATGGACCTCCACACAATAACATCCGCCTTTGGATTTCTCGCCCAGTTTTCAAATTACCCAGAATTACACCATTAGGGCATTACAAGCGATGAGCATCCATACTTGAATTTTTCGAAGCGAACATCGTAAACTATTTCGCCTCCTAGAAATTTCAATCTTGTGGGGTAAAATCAATTTTTCAGAGATTTGAGTAGAATAATTCGAAACCCGACAGGAATAACATGTCCTGAAAATTAGTGCAGGTGTACACAATCTAATTCGCCACCCACTTTATTTTCAGGGAAACACGTCGATTACGTACATCTACGCGACCGTTAAGGAGCAATTAACACACAAGTTTTGGCAGATCAACAGAAAACTGCCGGAAAAGTTTCAAGAATAATCGATAAAATATCTTGAAATATTGAATTTCGATGCAGCTACGTTTGAGCAGGCGAGCATTGTTTATCAAGCGCATCAGGAACCGTTTTTAAGGTTGCCCTTCAAACTTATACTGTATTTTAACCCTTTCTTCGATGAAGTAAAAACAGTACGCTTCGATGAACCATTGCAGGTTTCAGGGCTAATAATGGTGGATAATAATGGTATGTGCAGTTCAAAAAAATAAATAATATCTGAAAAAAACAGCTACCGTGCGAGCATCCGATTCCTCATTCAGCGATAACCTTCACTTCACTACAAAAACGCCGTTCGGCGGACGAAAATAGTCTACCTACGCGGGTTTACTATCGTCGAAACGCGAACCAATTTTTTCCCGTCGCGCACTTTTTTTTACCCACGTGTTTTTCGCTCGCTCAGAGAACATTGCTGCATGTGCGCTCACGGACTTCGAGACAAGCGTGTTTTGAATACAGGCCTGAGAACAGGCAGGAAACGAGAGCTTGATGTGTCTGGTTTCATCGTTTCGTCATCGAGACTGCGAACCACAAATTCGCAGCTTTTCGCAGAATGAAAAAAAATACATATACATATATACACAAGAGAAGCCGGCTCAATTTGAATCACCCAGGTCGACATCACCTAGTGTGACGAACCCTAAGATTTCTCGCTTTGCATAAATTTAAGTAATCCTACGCATAGGTCTGTATTTACGCGGTGATTCGATTACAAGCAATCATTGCAGGGTATGGGCTTTACGTATCAGCAGCAGGAAAAAAAGCTGGAACTTCCGAAGGATATTAAAGATGGGATAAATATCAAACGAGATCGGTTAGAAATTCGCTCAATTCTGAAATACTGTACTCTAGAAGAACACCAGGAAATCACTGATGAAAACACCTAGGGGCCCATGAGTGTTTTCATCAGACAGGTGACTTATTTTTCACCCAACTACTATCTATTTCTATTCACGTCATCCGAAGCGTATGCCTCACCTTCCAGTAACTACAGGCAACTTTTAAATTCAGTATTTGTGGCATCGATTTTTCCACCGAAAATTTGAGGGATGCGCCCTATAATCATGTAAATACTGAAACGAAGGTATTCACAGCATCAACGCCGCGGAACAATTTAATAGCAATTTTCGCACAGATTCAAAGCGCCCGCAGACGAGGTTTTTTTGCAGATCGATGATCACAGATCGGCCACATACCACGTGGATATTTTTACGAAAACAAAATCACTCGATCTTCAGAACAGAAAAGTTTTTTGCTAGTACTGTAGCGTATAATGAAAGCCCCGTGCAGGTCGAAATCATGAATGTTTTATTGCGCACGTCGCGTCGAATTCGGTTGCATAGTGGATCCTGACCAAATGGTTTCATGCACGAGCCAAAACTCGAACGCGCAAAATGTGAACGAATTGGTCATAAACTTCAGCAGAGATATGAACAGCTTTAAAGGCTGAAAATGCTATAAAACAGGCGGAAAAATTGAGGAAACGTCAGCACGACCGAGCGATAAGATAATGGGTAAATCCCACGGATCGACATTTGACGAACGGCAATACCCACCCTTCGGAATCCTTAGCCAGTGAAAAAATACAGATTTACTTCAAGCATTTAAATGCTAAAAATTTTAAAAATAAATACCGAATTCGAATCAGTGTTTCTTTCTCGTTCAGTTTTCGAGTCGAACAAATCCTTTCAAGGGATGAAAAAAAAAATTAGGGCTCACAGCCAGGATTTAACGAGAGGTTTACATATTTTAAGGAAATTTCTTACTATTTTTTTCATCAGCTGCCTACTAAACAGCATTGGTCCAAAATCGAGTTGGTCCGAGTACTGCGTTTACGCGGTTAAATGTCGCGTCAATAAACTTTCCAGGATTTAAAAAAATCTAAAAACCTTTGTATTAGAATATCTAAAGTTCAGCTCGCTTCCGACATTTCCTCAAAAATTGTCTAAAACCTAGGATGGGATCAATATTTCAACTGTACAGAGTTATATTTTGCAGACTATGCGTATGCTTTTCAGCTCTGAATGCGTTTAAGAAATCGTATTGTCCTTCAGCTTTGAGAAAATGAGTCACTCGTTGAGTGAATCATTGCGAATTTGCGCATTTTCCGACATGAGATAAAAGATTTTGCGAGTGAAGTCCTATGAATCACAAATGTTTGGAAGCAATAATTTGATGAAATCACGATAGTATAGAGCTTGCCTCTGAAAAGTCTCGAGAAAATGGTGCTTTTGACATGGATATCCAAGGAGGAAGACAAGTGACATCCAACATGACACATACTATTCATGTAGTCCACGGAGAATCGAGAAAATACACTGTTGTAAGCTAGTCAAGCTTGAAAATGATTAACACGAAGAAAAAAAACGCCTTCCCGTTCTGGAAGAATATTTTCTTTGAAAATAGTACATTATCAGGTCAATTACGTCAGATTTTCTTTAAATAAATAAAAATATTGCAACTGACAAATCCAGAAATTATCAGGTGCCTCGCAGAGTTTCAAATCTGCAGCAGATGGTTTTTTTTTGTGAATATTTTTTCACCATTTGAGATAGTGCCTCTAGTATATAAATGATCCGCGAAAGCAGTTCTTCAGTGGGCTAGCATACGGGATGATCAGGCATCGAAAAATAAATATTTTTTTTTACCGCGAACACTCTTGAGGGATTCCATTTTATCTGCATGTACAGTCATATGGTCAGGAAACTTCTTGAACTTCACTTCTTCGAAATGTAGGCTACTTACGACCGTCACGAGTACGTTCCCGTCACATTTTACCCGCAATATTCGCAATTGCTTCGATGTCCATGAAATGTTTTTTTTCCCCCGAGTGCATGAGAAAAATTTGAGTGCACAGAATGACAGCGTCTGGCCAACATTCGCATGAACATATTGTAGTACCTTTCCGTTTTCGCAAGCTGCGTGCACCACCAAACATTTTGGTCTCACAAATATTAGAATACAGTACTCGTTTACGCTGCAGCTCACTCGATGGTAATTGAAAGTTTTGAGCAACAAACGCACGCGAGACTAATTAATATTCCTGAAGCACTCGCGTAATTCAAGCAGAAGTTGCTGGATTCTGGCTTGTGACTGTCTTCCTTGACGAACCCGCGAGCATGAAGCACTACGGAAAAGACTCGTTCATGGAGTTTCACCCGTCCATACAACGATGTCGCTACTCGGCGATCGAGACGAGGATTACGCATCTTTACACCAAAACACTAGAGAACTGGGCCAGTTTTCACCATCTGCGTCCTTCCCATCGAGGAACCCGTGAAGAACTTTCAATTTTGTTACAACGCGGCGTATATTTCCATCGCCTATTCTGTGCGAATAATCTGACGGAAGTCATACCACCAACTTCCCTTCCTGCCTCGACATCAATCAACAGTTTACTCCGCGAACACGTTTCAGCAGCTATGTTCGTACGGCACCAGGGAAAACGCCAGCGAAGTTTCCAGGGCTTGCCGAATACCATTTTCAGCACACTATTTCACTATAAATCTCAACCGAGAAAGAAAGTATGAGGGTGGAAGCATGACGCAGTGACGTACAAATAATTCTGTTGGAGGACTGCTTGAAACAAAAAATAATAATCGTATAGCTCCGCTTATAGTTTCTTTCGCCCAGAGCACCACGTCCTCGACAGCCGCACATCAAAGGGGGACGAACAAACTCAATCCATTACGGACAAGAGAGTGAAAAATTTGAATCCATTTCACTCCAGGGAAACGCACTCACTTCATACCATATGTTGGAGTGCGGCGAAGCAAATTTCAAGTTTAGAAGGGTGTGCAAAATTCATCTTCTCGTTCTTTTTGGTTGGGTCCCGCATACCGAGGCCCAGTCCGTGATGATAGAAAATTCAAAAGATTATTGAAACCGTCATTTAAACTGATGGCCAAGTTGCATAGGGAAACGCCTGCTTGAGTGGCACCGTGGAAAATCAGGCTAAAAGTAATTGTAAGTTCGAACGGATTCGTTCCGTTCTCTGCTGATCGTCAGATGGACGACCGAATAGGTCGTAGAGTTTCAGATCACTGAACCAAATATTACAGTCCGAGATTTTTTGCTTGACGATGAACGAAGATTGTCAGAATAACAAAAGCGGGAATACTTCAGGATTGTCGAGAAAGGTAAGGCAGTGGGCAAGAAAGAAGCATATAGAATCATCCCAAAAACGTCCAGGAAAAGAAAGTGGGGATTTTATGCCTTTTTGGGGCACATACTAGCAGGATTAATTTACTGCTAATCTGACAAGACTGCGGAGAAACAAAAATTATTGTCTTGAGGATACCACTCATTTCCTCTTACCCAGACAGGAGACCAGGAGCCAGTAACCCCACCAACTTCTTAGTGAGAAAAGGTAAAACAAGTTTTCCTTTCCTTCCCGACATTTTCGGCTGTCGGGAAGACACAAGGTTTTTCATTTTTCGCTCGGTCTTGGGTACTCATTTCATTCTTCTATGTTCTATACCTTTACGCACATTTCGTCGGTCAACTAGCAAAGGAGTCACCCGGTATTTTTCCCTCGGAATAATATCAAGTTGCACGAGAAAACAAATACTGTACAGTACTATAGTCACAATAACGAAATCGTAAACAATATCTCGCAAACGAAGCTTGGACGAGCTTATATTTAAAGTTATTCCAAGTATGGCATGTCGTTTTGATTCAAGGTGCATTTAACCTACATAAGTGCTGACCAGGAGGGCTGTTGGCGTTCATTCAATCGCGAATTAAGCTTCGTCGTCACTAGCTACTGCACCATAATTTCGAAAAATCGCGTGCGTTCGACTGAAAATGTTGGAAGTTTAAACGTGATAGGAAAAAAAAGGCAAACTATACGCAACAAACGATTATGGGGTTAATCGAAGTACAAAATTTTGTTAGCACTGGTAAGCGTTGTTGTGGAACACAGGTGCACCCAAGATCAAAACCGAACACCGACGATTGTTGCCACGCATAAATGATTTCTTTTCGATATGGCAAGTCTTGCCTTTTGTACTGATTAGTCCGAGCCGAAGTTCTTCGCATATTTGCTCTGAATGAATTTCCACTTCCGTTCGCAATGGACTTTAAATTCGGACTCCACGAACAAATACAACAGGTATAATCGAATTATTTGAAGAGTCAATCGTTAAACTCGAAAGTTTAAAGCGGTCAGAATAATACAGAATTTCCGCTGATTTGCAGACCACTTCATTCTATAAACGTGATATTCCCTTCTAGGTAGATCTATGAAAAAAAAGTTCATCCAAAATTTTCCAGCTTAATGAGATAGCAGGTGAAATGTCGAAAACATATTAAGGTAGAACCGGGGATGGTAAATTGGGATTTGAACACTACCGATAATCTTGACTTTTGCTATCACAAAGGCAATTTTAGATACAATAAAGGGTCTGAAACGTCGACACAGTCGTCAGTTAACAACTTGAGAAGCAGCTCAGACACACTCACCAGTCGTCACATGCCGTTGGTTACGGTTTTCGCGCCATATCTGCAGCAAAACCTTTTAATCTTTTCTCAGATTCGCTTCTGAGACACATCGACCAGTTCCTGGGTACTGTACGAAGTAACACTCTTGACTTAAAATCTGGTGAACACCTACCTTCGTACTTGATCAAGTACCTATTGTCATTACAGTATTTGCATACAACAAACCACACATTCAACTTCATTATGCCATTTAGGATCACGTTTCATTCAATTCATCCGCCACTTCCGATTGAATTTCCTCGTCATGTACAGCACCTCACGTTTACCGTAATTTTAAGACTTCCACTTGGCAACAAAGTTTTCAAGTCTGAACAGGGCGTACTTGTGCCAGCAGTTGTACGCGAGTCGATGGTGCTGGTGGTGAATGGGATCATGTCAAGTAGTACGTGAGACGTTTCTTGCTTGATGCAAATCTTTCGAAGTGACATTTTAGCTTACACATCAATATGATAAGGACGGAATTTATTGAAATTTGCTACAGATGCGAGGGAATTGAATGTGGGTTTATTGCGTGGGATCTGGGAAGTACGAATGTCCTTGAGTCGAGTTGAAGTCCTGTAGGACTTGAAAGTGGTACACTACTTGGTATCCCAACAGGTACAAGCAAACAATGCCACTTCTCGGAAGTAGTCCAGTCCAGAAGAAGATTAAAATGCCCCGATTCGACAGGACAGGTTTTCGGGCGAAATAATTGAAAGAAAAACAGTATTTACGCTGAGGTTTGAAAAATATTTGCGCTCGACGTGAATGGATGGTTGCAATCCGATTAGTCACTTCTCGGTGATGTCCGGACTCGGGTTCTTTTTTTTTTTTTTTTTGAAGACCATGCGATGCGTTGCTCACGTCAGCATCGATCAAGTTGCTCGCCCGCAGGCGGCATTCCGAGGTACAAGACGCGGAATGTGCACACGGAACAGCGAGCGAAAACAAAGTCAGACCCGAAGCGATAACAGAACCGAAATTACGTGGGTGACTGGTTGCACTGGGAGCGCCGGGCACCGACTGCACAACAACGCGGTTTACGGATGCACACCGACCCAGGCTCTACTGGCTCTCAATGACTATCGGACAGCGCCCAGCAACGCCGGGTAACTTCAGCACACAGGCGATCAACATTACCAGGAGCACGAAAAGCAACGGCATGCGCATTAAAAAAAAAATCAAAGACCACTGCAAAAAGTGCAAAAAAGCAATTTTCTTCAGAACCTCGCCAATAATTACACCTGTGCAGGGTCATCCCTGGAGTTCGGGGTCCACTTCAACTCAAGTACGGGACATGCAAAATCGAGAAGGAAAGACAAGTAAAATTTCATACCTGATCTCCAAATGTCTTTTTTTTTGTAAATAATACGAAGAATTGGTTCAATCTCCCTCTCGATAGTTTTAGCTTGGGCTAAAAGCTTAGGTCGGTGAACACGAACACTCAAAAACGCCTGCATTTTCGTCATGGAATATACCACATACCAAGTGAAAATACAGCAATAATTGAAATGCCCAGTTCTAGTAAAGGGCTTTCCGTCCTCTCGTGAATTTTTTTTAAAACTTCGTAATTCGTTAAAATATTAAAATGCTTTTGAGGGGGATAAGAAGAGTTGCGTAGTGGACTAGCTATGTGGACATGTGCTAACGGGAAACATTAATATTAAGTTCAGAGTTGTGTTTTATCCTTAACTATTGACGGTGTAATAACTTCACTAAAACGCCATGTTCAGCTGCTGAATAGATGCCCGATATTTTTTGAATGAATAAAATATCCAACCATTTCTCACGTGGTTTCAGAGGGCAACATTCTCCTTAACTTCAGGTTCAATATCCGTAACGTTCTTATCCGAAATATTCCGAGAACCACGTGAAAAATGTCTCATGATGACAAGTAAAATGTATTGTTTATGACTCAGATTTGGAAAAATTGCACCAACAGTTGCACTCGGGCACCTTTCAGGTGGCACAAAATGCTCTTGTGCATGAATTCAAGAAACATATTTCAATTGAAGCTGACAATGCGCAAACGCGACGATGCCTCATAATTTGTGCGAAGTTATAGAAAGGTTAAGAAAAATCTTTTCCGAGATTATCCGATTCATTACTGGTAAAGGTTCATGAAGCGGAACAGTTCAATGCTGATGAACTGTTCCACTATGCTATATCTTTGAAATAAGGAGTTACAAAAGAAAGATGCCTTCTCACGTCTTGCTGATCCACTCTCCAACATTCATAACTTAAAATTGCGTGCAAAATAATGTTTCCGTCGTTGAAATTAATGGAAGTAATTTCACAAGCCTATTTTTATTTCGACGTGAATAATGTAGAGTCGTTCGGACAGGTCAATACAACCGTATTGTGTAGTGCAAATTCATTTCACGCTTGGGTTACCGCGTCGATGAACAATCGCATAAATTATTTAGCACTCGCGGGCGAATGATAAGACCCGCAATTTAAGCGATGGACATCAAAAAGCTCCTTTTCAAATACTGCCCTCGCCCACTAACGAGCCGAATTTCTGGATGTTGCGCACTTGAAGCAATTAAAACCAATACCGTCCGAAATAATTAGTTACATTATCAACCCCGATGCGCAATCTAAAAAAATAAAAACGGAATTACGTGGGATAAGATAGGTTCGAAGTCATGATGACGTTCGGTGGAATACAAGCGCGAGAAAGCGCCTAGTTATTCAGAGGATTACGAATTAGGGTTACTTTAGAGGAGTCCATTTATCCGGATTAATCCGGATTAATCCGACAGCCCCGGGCTAACGAGATTGGCATTGCATTTTCGAGGGGACATGAGGTACGAGAGCAACTGCGACAGAAAATCTTGAGAATGATTTCGATTTCCCTTAACCAATCAAATCCGATGCCTAAAATGACGAACATTAGGTATCAGGTTTTCTTGCAGCAAATCGCTTGAATCAACGCCATGTAGACAAGAATCTAAGAACATTCTTGAGACCATTATAAATACGGGTTCGAAAAGGAGC